TTTAGCGCCTGCCTCTGCAACAGATTCCCACAGCTGGCGGCACACCCGCTTTGATCTCTTTCCCTTTTTTCGCCTCGTAGGTAGCTGTGAGCAGATTCGTGCCTGCCTCGGCCAAGAGCGTTGACAAGTCACATGAGCATTGTGATCCGGTGGAGATTTAACATATTGGCCAACACTGCGGTTAAGTTAACCCTGCGGCTGTCCGTCTCAGTTTCACCCGCGGGGGGTGGTGGCCCGCTGGCTGGCGTAAATTAGTTGACAAATGGTTGGGTCTATGCAAAGAAAAAGCGTGATGGCCCAAGTTTTAATGGTCGAGGATTGATTGTAATAGATTGCCTTTCCTGTGATCTGTTTTTAATTTGTAATTAAAATATTTTAACTATTTTGTAAAGACGTCTTTAATTCGTTATTAGTGCTATTTTGTGCACAAGTTTCGATCACTAGCTAGTTTAAGACTCCTAGGTTAACTCTCTGAAACCCTCTAAGAAAAATGAAATAATTTATTACTATTATCTTATTATCTTATTATCATCTTACTTAGTTTGAATTTACTAGCTTGGACACTAAGAGCTAATGGACTTTTAATTTAGTATTACAAGTTCCCAAGCTAAATATAACTACAAATCACTTCATGAATCAAATTCAGTAAAGGCCACATAAGCTATGTCTTTGTCCAATACCAAATAATGACCGCTAGAGTAACCAAGCAAGATCCCATCAGCAATCGCTTTTCCATGACACATTTCCATGCTGAATTCCTTATGGATTCCAACCGAATCTAACTCATTCCTCGCCATATAAGTGGGGCCAGCGGCTCCTCTCCGAACAGCCAATCCCCCGAAAATCGTCATAACAGTACCACAGCCCGCAACACGACGGAACAATAACAGAGGGACTTCTGTTGACCCCGCCAGGTGAACCCACCTGCTCTGGGGCCTTATCAATTGCCGTTAGATGGGACGGGCCAAATGGAGTCGCCTCACTTCTTAAAGCACAGGAACCGCCAGACAAATTCATATTTTATTGCCGCGGACCATGACCGGGCCAAAAGCATTAACAAACAATGCCACAGCAACAACGGCCAACAAGAAGATCAATGGAAAAGCAAATATTTTCACTCCACGCTTGCCTAATCCGAGAGCAACAGCTCCTGGTCGTCTTGGCCATTGTTTTTGCCTCTGTTGCTCCTGCTCCTGCTACCTGGCTGGGTGCTCCTTGGCCAAACTGCATTTCGAACATAATTTTCATATGTCGCTCTGGCAGTTATAATCACGTTCACAGCTCGTTAGCCGAATGCGAATACAAATAAAATTACCGAAAACCCGAATTTGAGCCACAACCCACCTGTAGCTCCTCTGCGCTGCCTGTTTGGCCATAATTGTCGGGACCAGCATATCGTACATGAGGATAGCTTTACCTGGCTCGCTGGCCATCACCATATTGACCATTAGGCGGGCCGAGAGTGCGTTTTGCATTTTGTGCATCTTCATCGATTTCACCATTTGGCGCGCGGTGCATAATTGGCCAGGCGAACCCGGCGAAGACGGGCCAAAACCCCCACAGATGCACACAAAAAAAGCAATTTTGGAAATATCAAATTTCTTTCTTAATTATACAGTTTTAAGTCTTTTGAAAGTGTAGGAGTAGAGAATCGATTCTGCAGGGTAAACTTCTTTTATAAAAATCTCTAGTCATTTTATGTTGGGAAGTAATACTTGCTTATTGTTATGGCTTATTTTACCTTAAAATACGAGAGGCCTTTAAGGCTTTGGGCCGTTAACTTATGATTTCTAAGTACCATCTCTTAATTTTTTTCAATTATTTAAATTAGTTATATGATTTGGTTAAGGTAAATATATAAATATGTATGTATAAGCCAAAGGTTTTCCATTTATATGAAGAAACAAAGTAGGATTTTCCCTCTGTGTACTGGGTGCAAGGCAGAGTCAAAGCAACGGCACGTTTTTCCTCGCTGATGATTACCGATATTGCAGCCAGTGAAAAATGCGTTGGATGCGTGGAAAAGTTTTCTATTTTTCTCATCCGCCAAAAAATCTGGTGGCGGAGAAAATTCCCTCCATTCCTCTTGATTTCATACCAAGCGATTTGGAAATGGGTGGATCTCGATTCGAGAAAGAAACTTAGAAATTCCAAAGTTATTTGGAAGAACGAACGAAATGAATTTTATGGATCACTAACAGATTAAAACTTATTAATAAATAGACAAATTTGTTTGTTTGTTTGTGTCGTTAATTGTTTTTTCTTTAAATAATATTTCATGTTGAATTTTATTTATTTAATGTTATTTAAATTAATTCAAACACATTTGTACATTTTGAAAACCATCCTATAAACCCCAAATTCAATCAAAAATGTTTATGTTCTTTACCTTAATTCCTATCAAACTTATATCGTTTAGTGAAAACTCAATTTGTTCCACTATATAAATATGTACATGAGCAGACTTACCATATCTATAAATTAATATCAAATTAAATTATATCATGGGTAAATTATAAATACGTTTACTTCACATCATTATCCAACCAAGAATAAAAAGAAGTTAAGTAGAATTCTGCTACTTTTAGATATCACCTAACTCTGTTAACCGATTTCCAGATAATTCTGTTAACGGGAAATGAAGCCATGTCATGTACAGTATTGCAGCCGCCATCTGTTGCTAGAACCTTGTTTAGTAACTGACGGCAAAGGCCCTGCCTTGCATTGAATTATAACCCTAATATCGTAATAAACAAAATTTCAAACCAAACTTGCAGCCTTAATAGTATTTAGTTTCCGAGATAGGATCTGCCGGACTAGGCTAAGAGGTCTGGGCTATTGATCCTGACTATGAAAATATTCATTGACGAGGAACTTTTTCCTCGGGTATTTTTATACGCCGAGTCCATTTTAATTTTATTTATATCACGTGATCTGGCAACTCTGTATTTCTGTCAATGTGACAATATTTTTAATTCATTGTATAACTCGCCTCTTAGGTTTGAGTTCATTATAAATATTATACAATATAAATGTGTTATATTGTTATACGAAAGTAAAATGAGAATGTTAGCTGTAAGAAAAAAAAGAAACCCTTTTGAAAAGTTGGAAAACAATTTATTTATTATTTCCAATTTTACTTATTATTTCAATATTTTTGTGAATGTATTTATTTATTTTTATGAATTATTTACCTCGTTTTTATACCATTTTCCAGGACATCCGATGGTCTAGCAACATTTATCGGCATGTATGTACTTTCCCGCAACATGTTGCTCTCCCTGTGCTGTTATACTGTTTTTAACCGGTTGTTCAACTCCAGATTATTCGCAATAAGAAAATTCCGTTGTCATGATCGTGGTTCGCGCCTGGGCTGTGGTTTCAATATAACATTTTAGGAAGCTCTTTTTCGTACTTAGCTGTGACTCAAACCAATATTTCACCAATTTTGGGTTGTTCGTCTTATAATTTAAGCGGCCAAACGGTTAAAGAAAGTTAAGTCTTTCCCAAATAAACAACCCTGGATTAGCCGAAATTTGTACCATTTAAAAATATACTATCCATACTTTACCGGAAATGTAGGAAATACAAGCTGTTATTTCTTGATATTTAATTCTCTGTAAAGTCTTTCAGCTCAATGTTATGCGACTTATGTAAGCCCTATGATCTTCAAGGCTCTTAAGCATACATGCTATTTGAGATTGTTCTAGCTCGTCACTTAAGCACATTTGTTGGTCATTTTCAAGTAAGAAAGCTTAATATATATTAAGCTGTTCGTAAAAAATGAGGTTTAGACAATTTCATTACAGAACTGAATTCACAAACAAAAACATAAAATATTAAGAACAAATTTTCACTTTTATGTGAAAAGCACGGTTTTGCATGCTCTCAATAACATTTTTAGTTTATTTTTATTATATTTTATTACGTTTATAATAAAATTTAATATAAGAATAACAATTATTTTCTTTCTTAAAATTTAATTTCGTAATTTAACAAAATTTATTAAATAAATTAGAAACTTTGTTTAAATATAAAAATAGAAGCCACTGTTAACAATTTTAAACTTAAGTAGACTCCAACATGAACGGTTTAGGAAGAGACCATTTTGTTTTATTGAGTACTAAATGGTCTCTGTCTGCCTCTTTAAACGGATGTTAATATGCCGAGGCATTTCGGCTTTGCAAAGCCTAAGAAGCAGCCGCTCAAACGAGACTTTCGAATTCTGACTATTGAAATAATATATTCTTGATTTCAAATACTTCATAATGAATTCTTAACGTACAATTTAAAGAGATGCAAATACATACATATTTGTGTGTTTAACAAACATTTTGAAAAAAATGGTGAACAAATAAATGAAAACAAAAGAATATTTTTCGAGTTTTTCTGGTTATCTAAATCGTTAACATTTACAACTAGTCGGTGTAAAAGCAATTATTTTAAAGTTTGTAAAAAATTAATTCATTCAATGACAACAAAATATTAAGGAAACCATGGATCTTTTTTACGTTTTCAAGTGACGGAGACGTGCTCTTTTTAGTTCGACGATAGATAGAATGATAGAATATGAACTTTTCAAAAGAGAAAATGTGTAACATAAAATATGTGGTTGTCCTTCCCATTTTACGTTTCCAATAAGAATGGATTTTTAGACTTTGCTTATAATTATATATTATCCCTGGAATCCCGACAGTTTCCAGCACTGGTATCGATAGATATATCGCCATTAACATTGGTCGCAAACGACATCAGCTGTGAGCCACTAACAACACACATTATCGTAAGGGAGATTTGAAAGAGAGCATCTAAGCAGAAGTTGGGAGCGAGCTTTCGGCGAGAGCCGAGTCTATTTAAGCAGCCAGCAACCGTATATTTTTTTGATTCTCACCCGCGCTGCTCTCGGTTCCCGTTAATTCCCATAAAATGATTTAAGCTAAAATATAGCGGAAAACACTCGATATCCGATAAATCGCCGGGATAAGACAACAGAGATAATATCGTATTTGCAGTAAAATAAAGTGGATATTTTAGTATTTTTGTTCGCTTTCCGCCACCCAACTTTCTAACGTCAACGATTTCAGCTGCGCGCTTTTCCAACGGCTTTCCGCAGAGCCGCCGTCGCCGCCGAACAAACAATAATAATGAAAAGCGCCAGACGAAAACCGAAGAGCTAATTGACCAACCAGTATTATAGCCATTTGTTAATTGTTAATTCCGGCTATCAACGTGTTAATATTTGCATATCAGTCGACCAAATTTTCGGGTTTTTAGCCAAGTAGTGTAATAAAATCAAAATAAGTTGAAAGCAAAAAATCCTTAATACACACACACACCGAAGCAGACGTCTGGTGGGAGTGTGTGTGCGTGAGTGTGGATGTGTGTTCATGCGCAGGCGCCAATTCGCGTTTCTGTGCATTAATTGCTTTTCGCAAAGTACTCTGCAATACGATCGAAAGGTAGGTGGAAACTGGTTTTCTTGGCTTTTGATTTCCATATTTTTGCTTATTTTTTTGATAAATTCTCTGTTGCTATATATTAAAAGAGTGTCCACCCACGCAGGCTGGCCAAATCCAAATCTAAAGCCCAAATCTAAGCCCCCCTCCCCGGAAACGACACCACCCGCACATTTACTACGCGCGCTTTGCCGGAAAGCTTCGTCTCTGCGACGGCGTAAGCTTTTTCTTTCATTCAAGTCGCTGCTGCAGTCGTTTGCCGTTATGCTGCGTGAAAGTTAATTCCGTTTACTATCGGCATTCATCATCATCATCATCGCCGTACCACCCACACACAAGCCACAGCCCACTACCCACCGCACACCACCCACACTCCGCACCTTTTGCCGGCTTTTTGTGCTAAGCATTTAAGCAGTAATTGACATGCATTCGCCGATATGTGTTGACTGATAACCACGGCTATCATTTTTTGCTGCCATTAACCACTTGCCCTTTCCCTTTCGCTTTTCCCTTTCAGAAAATGTGGGTGGGTTTTTGAGGCGGGAAGGGCGGATTATTATTACAGCGGGATTAGGGTAGTGCCTGCCACAAGGCCCAATTTTCATCATCTTGAGTGCGGCTTAAAGTGATTCCGTTGCGTGCGGGGGCGGTAACCAAAACCAAAACAAGCTCAAAGTTTTCGGGTCTGGGATTATATTTGCATACCCCCGTATAGAGCTCCAAATTAAAATAAGTTGAGCTTCAAGTGCGGCGATTAGTTTTAAAGCGGAGGGATAGATTGTCTCAAAAGTTTTCATGAAGAACATGCTTGGTGTACTCATAAACTATAATAATAAAACCACTAAGTGAAACCTTAAAAGTCGAAATACCTCACTTAGTGGTAAGACAATGGCGAGCACGTTCTCGATTAGAACTTTTGCATTCCCACGCGAACTCAGCAGTTCTGATAGAGATATAGCCAAATTATAAGTAATACAGATTTTTACGGTTATGTAGCTTTATTCTTTCAAAAAGGAATAATAATGGTACTAAGCAACAAAGCTAATAAGAAAAATAAATTTGAGACCATTCGACTTCTTTTTTACTCATAAAACTTGTTGATGTTGGGTTATTTTGCTTTAGAAAGGCTATATTAACAAAAAAAACAAATAATCCTTTGTTATATTATAACTAATAATTAATTACGAAACAAATTTTATTTAAAACTTAAAGTAGGAATGGCATTTCCTCACAAATTGGATTATAACTAAGTTCCCCGAAACCGCCGAAGCATACTCGTATGTGCATTTTTAAGGTTATCCTTGACGAAACGCGACCCAATTATGACTGGTGCCACTCTAAGTGTACGCTCATTCCCAGATCACTTTCATATTCAGCGTACAAATTACGTTCCTAGAAGAGTGTAATCCGCTTTTTGGCTTAGCATTCTGCTGCCGGCTCTGCAAGAGAAAGAAACCAAATTGCGCTAACTTAATCAGAGCGACGTGCAATTACGTGCATTAGAGCATTTCCACTTGGACCACTTGCTTCTCTGGCTCCTCCTGCTCCTCCTGCTCTTCGGCTCCCAGCTGCTTAGTTCCTTTCTTGGTCCGGCTCTTGTTCCATTTGTTTCCCTTACCTTTTGTCATCCATCGCGCCTTTCAACAGCTCACCGAAGCGACTGAGAGGCGACATCGTCGTCGAGAAAATATCGCACTTAAATTGCACTTAATGAAGCTGCATCATCACATTTTGCATTTCATGCAACGGCACACTGAGCCGAAGTACACGGCAAACAAATTAATAGCTTGTTTATTCATGAAAACATATTCGAACTAGACACGTTTTTGGGTTGTAATATTAAATACAAATATTTGTTACAGAGATTAAACGATTTACCAATACAAATTTAAAGGGTTTTTGTCATACAATTACTTACAAGCTTAAAAATGCAAAAAATCAAAACACATGTTAACATTTTGGTATCGTATTTAATGAAAAATCATGTTGAATGTCAGACATATCAAAAATTGTGCTCTGTGCTGCCAAAGAATCATGTAGATATACGTTCGTCGGAAGGGTTCACTCCATTGCCATTTCTTTCCGTACGTGAGGAGATTCCATACTCGGAGAACAATGCTTCAGCCACTTGCATTCAACAGACAAATGAGTGGAAATTATGCCAAGACACTGGCAATTAATAAGTGGAGAAAAGCAAAGTAAGCCTCCCCTCCCCCTCATCATTCTCATACTCATCCTCATCTTCTTCCGTTTGACTTTTGTCTCTGGCCACCTGCTGTTAGCCGCCTTCAGTGATTACAGACACTCCGCACACCTTTTCAGCCCCAATCCACTTCACCTGCGATCCCTTCCAGCCGAACGTCTCATTTACATGCTTGCATTGGGGGCGTCAAGCATGAGGCTTGAGTGTTTGCCAACGGCAATACATAATAATCCTCAGGTCGGTCTGCACTGCTCGAAATCGGTTGGTTCCATTAACTCCTGGATTCTTGTCGTCTTGCCCTGGAGCTCTGTAAAATAATTGGGTGTATATCGTGATTTGATTTTAATGGGGTTTCTCAACGATAGCTGTCATTGATATAATAATTGGGTTCTGCTCTTTCAACAGAAATTTGCATACTTGATGGTTAATATTGCTAGTTTGGCCGAAAGTTAAGCTTAACATGAGCCTAAAATCTATTAGATATAACCTTCTTAGTAGATACAAACACTTTATTTTAAATTTCAATATGAAAATTATTATAATTGTAAGGCGCTTGCTCTTTTTGATTCATATTTCCAAGCCGATAATGTGTATCATGTCAAAGAAGATAACTAGACAGTTTCATATTGAAAAATCTTTCGAATCAATATCATAATCTGGTTAGGTATCTGAAATGTATTAAATTCTTTTAGGAATATCATTTTTCCCTAATCTGCACTTTAAACTATTCCAATTATTTTGAAAACCCCTCCGACAAGAGCAAAATCAGCCAATACTTGGCAATTGTTTTTGGCCAGGCCGCCATGGAATGTCAACTAAAATACATAAGCTGGCATGCAAGTGGTTCTGGGATTGAAATTGGGCAAACACCAGAACTGTGGCCATAACGCCCTCACCCGAGAGTCGATACACACGCAACCTCATTCGCATAAGCCTCTCGAACCCACACACGACAATCAATATAAACGCATTTTCATAATTAATCAATGCTGAATAATTTGTCAGACAGAGCCAGGTTATGTTGTGACACTGGGTGAGCTGAAAGGGGAGGGCCGGGCTATGTGGGCGGGTGTGCTAATAAGCAAATCTCAGAGGTTTGTTTTGGCTTTTATCGGTCGCAGCGGCGGCTTTGCGGTGAGCACATGAAAAATCTATCCGCCCGAAGCCCACATACTCGTGAATGGAATGGTATGGTACGCCGACAGCAGGAGGCCTGGCGAACTGTGAATGGCGCGTTTACACTAGGACACAGAAGTATGCGATAGTAAAGTGATATAAATAGATGCGGATTTTGGGCTTAAAAGCAAACACTAAGTGGAAATATTTAAATTTCATGGGACGACAAAGTTTAAAGTTAAAGCTTAGTTGGCTATTATTGGAAGTGTAACTTAGTGAGTGCATTTATTTTTAGATTTATTCTCGCAATATTATACAAAGAAAAAGTTAAGGAAGATACCGGAGATAGGGCAGTAGCAAAGCATCTAATTTAAGCAGTTTTAACTCCCTGATGAAACTTTAACCAACATAAATAGCCCTTATCAGCTGGGCAGTGCAAACGCAGCTCTAATAAGCACATAAGGTTAATTTACTCTCAGTTGAGTTCTCACATTACAAAAATAACTAACAACAACGGAAAAAGTCGGGTAACTAAATGGCTAAACCAACTGGGCTTCCAGCATCCGTGTCCCTATCACTGGAATCTCCTCCCACTTCGTGGCCCACAGTTCGAGTGGCTGCTGCTCTCTGTGTGCGCTGCATGTTCTGGGTATTATGTGTATTTAAAGATCATTAGTGCGCAATTTATATGTAGATATTCCGGAATATATGTACGTAAATGCGTATCGATTTCCACCAGTTGAGCGGGCTGAGAGCTTAATGCCAGCCCCAACGTGTGGCGGCATTGTTAAGAATGATTAAGAGGCTTCGATGGCATCAGCGGCCAGGAGGTTGAAGAGGTCGCTGGGATGAGGAGGTCGAGAGGTGGGCGCCTTGTGGGCCGAGGGCTAAAGGCGGTGTCAAGGCCAAGCGTCAAGACATGTGTTCCCCGGTGGGGTTCCACCTTCTACCTTAATCGAAGCTAAGCCGGATGTGGGCCCAAATGAGAAAGAAACGAGAAAATGGTACGATGAATTGGCTTAAATAAAGTTAAATAACATTAGAAAGGCCTTGGCTCAGTTTATGTATGTACCTGGAATTTTCTTTTATGCGTTATGAAGGTGAACTTTTCTTCTATCAAGTTGAATTTTTATTATATTTAAAAAGAAATTTTAGCAAATACTCTGTTTTATCCTTTATTTACCTGGTGAAATATGTGCTGGTTTATTTTTGAAAGGTTCTTTGAATTTTACACTACATTCTTACGAAACATTTTTCACTCCTTTTGACAGAATGCCTGGAAATTGATTTTCCCATTACCATTAAACGATTTTCACCTGGGTTCTTTATGCGACCGACTCCCTCTATTCCATTTCCCCAGGAGCCCCGAAGTATGCAATAAAAATCGTTCCGCATTTTAAACGACCATTCAGCCCGGACTTTCTTTCACCGCCATCCATCCGCAATATATCGTTGTCAATTTCGCCGATAACGATCAAGATTCCATTAAACGCATAGGAGACTCTTCCGCCATCAACTGGCGCAGCATTTTTGCATACATTTCCATTAAAATGCAGAACCTGGACGCTTCAGATAAAGAGAATTAAATGCAGGGCCGTGGCGGGTAAAGGTTGCGGATTAAATTAATGTGGGGAAACAATGCGAGGGCGCCAGTTGTTGCCACTCGCTCTAATGAAGCAACATTTGCACACTTGCAGAGTCACAGATACTCACCCACACACATACACACACATGCAAAGGGAGGAGCAAATAGCGAAAATTCCATGGAGCTTCTGCGGCAGCAAAAAGAAGCAAGAGCCAGCCATAAATATTTTTCGAAATAAATTCTCGTTTACAAATTATGATTTTATGACTTTTTGATGGCGCCGCCACAAGCCCCACACTTACGCAATTCCCGCACACATACATAGCTCTATATATATACATACGCAGGGTAATATATTTCCGCTCGGCTAAAGGCGGGAGCGGTAGGGGCCGAGTCGAAGGAAAAACGCTTTACGTATTTATAGCAATTTCGCATTGGGTTGCCGCTGCTGTTGCTGCCACTGCTACTGCTTTATGTATCGATACAAAGGACCTCCTTTTCGCCCATCACCAAGTTTGCATTAAAAAAATTGGCACAAAAAACAAAGCGAACAAAATCGGACAAAAAGGCGAACCTTAAAGCGGCGCCAAAAAAGTTATTACACGAAAGCGCGAAAAAATTCTGTTCGAGTTGAATGCAACTTCCATGTGGACTGTATGTAAATGTATGTGTATGGCTGCAGCAGCTGCTGCCACTTCCCAGCATTTGTGTGCCACTTTTTGTCCAATTTTTCCGCTGCCTACTTTCGGGCGCATAATTTATGACCGCCCGGCATTAAATTAGCCAAAGCGCAGCATGAAAAACGGCAGAAACGCTGGCGACAAGCGACGTCCGGCGCTTATTAGGCGATGACATGGCGTGGGCTAGAGGGGTAGGGGGCTACAATTGCCGGGGTGTTTCAAAAAAGGGGCGTGGCATACATCCCCGTCGAAATCTTTATCGGCTAAGTCAGCGAGTCGCTACCAAAATTTCACATTTATTTTGGAGTTTGGGGAAAAGCTACCACTGCAAAGTTTTTCACAGTTTATCAAATATTTATTTTTCATTTATGCAGCTCTTTAGCAGTATGCAAATAAGTTGAGTACTATAAAGTACAATTGGACTTTGCCTAAAATTTTTATTTGATTTATTTAGAAATCGGAAAACAATGGGAAGATTGCTATAATATATATGTTTAAAAATAAAAGCAACACAAGTGTGGGAATAGTTTGGTGAATTTTTTTGAATTCGATTAAGTTTATTGGGCTATTGTTTTTTAATCGTTTGTTTTTATATCATTTGAATACAATGAAAGCGGTAATAAAGTGAGTAGTGCAGTGAGTATAGGAAAGGCTTTGTTTGGATCGGAAGGTATAAAAAGCTATAAAGCTATACTCGTATAATGCATTTTAATAAACCTGTCCACTTATTTATGATATTAAAGAATGTTATATAAACAATTTGACCTTCTCAATTGGTTAGTATAGTACGTGCCAAAAATGTATATACAGATGTACATACGAGTATATGTTGATCGAGACTGGCTATGTCTTTGACTAATTCTTTTGCGAATACAAACGCACAATGTGAATGCCCAATTAGCACGGCAAATAGGGATACAATTATATAATTCTCAATTCCACTTGGCAATCACAATTTTCTAAATAAATACAAGATTTTGATTATCGCATTAATGTCTTTGAGCTTTATCGGAATAAGTTCTTGTTTTTACCATAACAAAGACAAATATCTGATGACATTGTATTGGATTTATGGTGCAGAAACATGTTATTATCGAATATCATTTTTAGTTATCTGATTGAAACATCCAGTTGAAGTCTTAATCCCTCGGGAATTCAAAATGACCCTCTTCCTAACTTAATCAGCTCATCAAGGTAGCCAAATAAAAGAGAGAAATGTTATTTCAATAGCATTATGTCGGATAGAGACATATAAATGTATATTGTTTAATTTACGAACATAAATAAAACACGTAAACAACTTTTGCAGACTTAGAAGGCGGCCCTCGCTCCTTGGCCTTAAATGCGAATACATATATGCCTTGAGTTTGTTTGGGTGTGTGTTTACTTACAATTATGAGCGTGTTGATGGCAACGCTGGCAGAGCCTTCGCCGTTCGTCCTTCGTCTCAAGCAGTCACACACTTGGAAAAGTTTTTTATAAATTTTCGCCTCGTCTTCGGAGGGGCCTTGAGCTGCGGCATTGCAATAATAATTACAAATGTTGCACAATAAATTGCAAAGTAAACAGACTTGGTGACGGCAGCCACACTGGGAGAAGCAGCAAGAGCAGCCGCAGCAATAGAAGAAGAAGCAGGAGCAGCGGCAAAATTACTTCCTGCTGAATCGTAGCGGAAATGTACATACAAATGGCACTCACACAGACGCAATCGCAATCACAGAAACAGGATGTGTCTGACTGGAGCAGTCCTTTTCCGGTTGAGAGCGTGAGCACGAAATCGAATTGGTTGCTCCCTGCGAACGGGGGCACTCCGATTCGGGTGCTCCGATGCGATGCCGATTCCCCCTTCGCACCGTGTCACGATGGCATCTCTGGTAGGAGTCCTGTTCCTCGGAGAGTGGCAACTTGTCAAATAGAAAATCATAGAAAAAGTCCCGCGGCGGCGACAAGATGCGTAATTGCAGAGCTCCGAGCGGAGAACTGTTGCACTGCGGCTGCCAAGGATGTGAAAGGATGTGTGTATGTGGAAGGATGTGGCCGGATATGGAAGGATGTGTGCCCCAAATGCCACGGCTTTTTGCATGCCTGCCCTAGTGTCGCCACCTCACTAGCTCTCCGCTTCTAAACTCTGCTTCTTGACTTGTCGGAGAATGCAATAAATCCTGGACTGGCAAAACAATGACAAATGTCCTCTCTTCCGCTACGCTTTTCTGCCTCCGTGTGTGTCAGCCGCATGCCGGACATTTAATTTGATATCCGCTTATTGCCAGCCATCCCCCCATATCCAGCCCCTGTCATCTGCGTGTCTAACTGGAGATCCCATTGGGACTCGATTGCAAATCGTTGCCGACCAAATTGTGATTTTATCTTAATGGCTTACCTGGTTACGGCGGAGTCTCTCTTCATCTCTCTTGCAACACATTTAGCAGGCTCGTTTCTATTCCATTCACTGAAATGGCCACAGCAAAAACTGAATCGCTTATCTCCACAATTAGTGTTCTATGACTTAGCATCCGTTCAGCTGTCACGTTGTTAATTATTGCTAAAATACCAATAAATTAGGCTAAGCTCTGGTTTTATCAGGCATTTCATTGGATTAATAAATTTTAACAGCAGTTAGAATGCATTTTATTGCTGGGAAACTTAAAACCTTTGCAAAAACTATCAGTCTTTATTTTTTAAATCTATAAAATAATTTTAAAAATATGAAATATTTTAATAAGCAATTAAAATATCTATTTTATCATGCATTCCTTCAGCCTTCGCTGGCTACTACCATGTAGAATCACATATCAGCTCTCAAGCAATTGAAGTCAGAGAGGAATCATGGTGGAATCCTCGAGTCTGGGGAGGACCCCACCGGCGGCCCAGCAACCCATTCCGCAGCAGCACTCCCCTTCGCCCTCGGGATTGCGGTGCGGCAACATGGAGACGAGGGTGAGGGGCGCCTGGTACCGCGTCCTTGTCACTCTTGAAACGGACTTCCTGGCCGTAAGCCTGGACGAATCTTGTGAGGCGGCGCAACCATCCAACGATGGACAATCTACAACCCTGAATGGAACATTGGGGTAAGCTATAAGCTATAAAGAGGATTATAACATAAAATGTAGGTTTGTTTATTATTAAAGAACTTTACTTAGTTTAAAGGGAATTATTTCGAACAACTAATATAACATTTTCTTAGAGCCATTTACGGCAGTCTATGATAATTAACGTAGATAATCCACTAGTAAAAAATTCTCTAGAAACGCTCTTCTGTTTTCCTGCAGGAGCAATCACAGTGGCGGAGGAGGCGGTGGTGCAGGAGGAGGTGGTTCTGGTGGAGCCGGCCAGAACGGCACTCTGCCCAGTTCTGCTTCGCTCCAGGGGATGAATATCCAGGACACAGAACTAGATGGCTCCGGCAGCAACGACAATGGCGATCTTTGCCTGAACAACAACAACAATGCCGGCGACGGGGGCGGCATGGATATGTGCGACGTACCTGACCATGTGGCCAACCAGAAGCGGCATGTGCGGATCATCAAGTCGGACAACAATGGCCTGGGCATCTCCATCAAAGGGGGCCGCGAGAACCGGATGCCCATCCTCATCTCTAAGATCTTCCGAGGCATGGCCGCCGACCAGGCCAAAGGACTGTACGTGGGCGACGCCATCCTGACGGTCAACGGGGAGGAGCTGCGCGACGCCACCCACGATGAGGCGGTGAGGGCCCTCAAGCGATCCGGTCGAGTGGTGGATCTGGAAGGTGAGTACACACCGATGATACACTTGTTACTCTCCCGGCCAGAATGTCAAATTGTTATTTGCGTAAAGCATTTCGCACACACGGAAGGGGAAGGCGGAGTGCCGAAAAGGGGAAGAGCTTAAAAAACGCGAGTCAAACTAACAAGTAAACTATGAGTACCATCGCGAACAGTTGGCCACAGTGGGGTAAACAGCTGCTTTTAGGGTTAAAAACAATTGCAGCAGATACATAAATCTGTTTTAAATGGCAACCTAATTGCCCAGATAGAACTTCTGAGCTTTGCACAAAACTTGTTAATATTGTTTGATATGGAATTATATTTGTTCATCTCTCTACGAGTAGCAAACGAAACATAAAGCAAAAGTTTTAATCGCCACCCAGAACTATGAACTAAAATCCATCTCTAAATTCAGATCCCTCTTAGCAACAATAAATTCGAAACATTTTTTATCTGGTGCTTGTTTTTGTGATAAATTGTGTCTTTGATTCCCTCCACAGCCCCGCCCCCACAACTGCACAGATAATCTTTTACAAACTTGTTCAACCGTGATTAATTGACCGACAGAAGGGATTCTTTTTTGTCCCGTTGTTGTGGCATCCGTCCCATGGTGGAGTAGCGAGCTGGAAAGGCGGAACAGAGGGTTTTAGTGCAAATACATACGTGGGATTACTCAGCAAAACATGCGAGTTACTGCCGCAGCCACTGCGACTGCCATTGCCACTGTTGCAGCTGGGTCCTGTTGTAAATCCCCCAGCATCCACCATCCGGCCCCCTTTTTGACAGGCTTCCCCCCGTTTCGGCCCACCGTTCCATGTTGACTGTTAGCTGTTGACTGCCGTTAGTTGCGATGGTTTGTTGGCTGGCTGGCTGGTTGGTTGGATGGTTGGTTGGTTGGTTCGTTGCCTGGTTTGTTTGCCCCGGCTTGGCAATGAGTAATGAGAAAAGTTTTCTTTCCATTTGATCAAATGGCCCAAAAATACATAGTCGCTCCTTGTGGGTGGTGCACCCTTATCCGCCCAGTGGCGTCGAGTGGCAAAAGGCGAAAATGATTCAGGTTGAGGAAGGTTGGATGCCGGGATGGTCTGCTACGCACTGCGTTCCCAACTGTCTGAGTGGCTGACACGCAGAAGCTGCAAGACATAAATAAGGCAAGGGTTATAGGTGATGAAAGCGGTTTGCAACAGATAGGAAACGGAAATAATTATCGAGGTTTGCTTAGCTGTCTGGAGAAACGCTTCAGGAGCTAAGTTGAATGTCTTAAGTTTACATATACTTACAAATATAAATGAACTTACAGAGGCATTAAGGTATTTAAATATAGACTTTTACCTCTCTTAAGACCGAACGTAGCTAATTCTTATTTCTATTCCTAAGTTTCTGGCTACGAAGGCTATTTTCGGTCAACTCAGCAGTTGTAATCGCACATACTATTTAAATCAACTCTATTCTCAATAACAATCACAAACTCCTCGATAATTTTCATTCCATTTAAACACAACTCCTGAACGCTTCAGTGAATCCCAGTTATCAGCAAGAACACACTGCATAAGCAAATATCCTGGCACCGAGCCCATCGACTTGACACTTTAAAAATGGATATGCGATGCCCAGGCCCGATCCAGTACAACCCAAGTACATAATCACACCAGCAGATCATCATCGTAATCATAATCATAGACGCACAGACGAACAGAGAGGACAATGCCTAATCAAAATGGTCGGGCAAAGTTGGAGCATCGTTTCCTGTTCATCTCCATTCAGTTGTGTTTTGCTTCGCTTTGCCCGACTCCACGACTACAAAACACAATAAACAATAGTAAGCATCAATTAGGCGATGTATGGGTGGGATGTCCTTGCGCGCACACACACAGGCACACACACTGGCCCACAAAGCGGGCAATCCCAGACACACCCACTTGTGCATCCTGTGGGCGTGACCCAATCACAAGCCAAACCATTTGGCATAAACAATGCAATGAACCGTGCACGACAATTTTGCTGAAACAACTTCCTCTGCGAAATGATGGGGATAAGCTGGAGTTGGAGTGGAAGTGGGAGTGCGTGTGCGTGTGGGAGATGGAGTTGGGATGCAGCGGGAATCCCCTTTGACACAGCCAATTCCATTTCTTTGACATACACATTTCCTGGGCACCTGCTGCCCCAGCTAAACAAACGCTTTAATTATATTGCGTTTATGGCAGGTAGTTTTCGAGTAATGAATGGAATCTCTTTACACATCCAGTATAAAGAAACTGTAATAAAATATGCAATAAATTGAAAATGTAAGTCAAATATCAAATCATATACCACTGAAATGATTCTCGCAAACTTTCCAAAACATAAACTCAGAATGTATTCGTTTGAAAAAAGTACGTATATTTTTGTTCAAGAATCCCCAACGGTTAGGCAGAGAGGTTTAGCCTTAGATCCTCCTCAGGCGGTCACTCCTCAAGCGCTGACGTGGCTGCTCCACGGCCAGGACGAGGCGACCGAACTGCGCTCCTCGAGCTCCCAAGGGCAGCAGGATGAGGCGACCGCTGGCCAGCTCGTTAGTCAGAGCCTCCTCCTCCGCAACCTCCTCGCCCACGAGCTCCACCTGCGACTCTTCCAAATCCAACTCGTTCTCGGGTTCGCTCAGCTCGGGCACTCCGTAGGTGGCGGCGGGTGGTCCATAGGTTCCTGCCGGGGTAACGGCCTTGACCTCTGCCTCCGGCTCGTTGGCCTGCGCTTCCTCTTGGCCCAGGGCAGGGACATCAGCAACAGGCTGCTCGCCGCCACTAACAACAGTGCCATCGGCGGCAAAGTCTTCGACGGCCTCAAGCGAGGGTGGCTGAAAGTCACGGGCTGGCTCCTGAGCTACCACCTCCACGGTGTCGGGCTCTAGGGGATTCTGCTCTCCGGGGGCTCCGTAGGTGTTTGCTGGCGTACGGACGGACACCTCCAAATCCGCTTCCGCTTCCGTCTCGGCTTCCGGTTGCTGCTGCTCGGTGGTGCTCAGGGGTTCGGTACTCTCTAGGGTCTGGACTTCGCTGGGAGTGGTGGTGGTCAGTGGTTCCGCTTCGAGCTTGGGCTGCACTTCTCCCGGAAGACTGAAGGGAATCCTGGGGCGGAAACCAGCTGCCGGATAGGGGGTGGATGAGTACTCCACTTGGCGTTGACTCTTCGCACGGCGCTGCGGCATGGCCGAAACGGAGGAGAGGGCCAGGAGGCACATGGCCAGGATCAGGATGGGTTGGCTCTTCATGTTGATTGGTGGACGAGTGCTAACGGTTTGTGCTCGGCTGCTGTGGGTGCCCCCCTATTTATGCGAAGTGCACGACGATTCTCCCATCAGAATTCAGTAACGGTCGCAAGGTCGCCTCCGCCCGGGGCAATGATAACTCACTCGATCTCAGATGCACAGTGCGAATCCGAATGTATGGGACAACTGGCAATATTCGCGCATTTAAAAACGTATCGTGGCCCATCAAAGCAGCCATCAAGCTCAATGTTAATGTCGCTTTAATATCAACAACCGCCCAACCCCATCCCGCAAAACTTCAGTTCCATCTCGGGCTTAGCCCTCCAAGACTCACGTCATCGTCGCCAACGTGCCTCGCATGCCACGCAGCCCGGAGTCCCAAAGTATCAGTCCGAGGGTCTGACTTGCATTTAATTTTGGCCCAGCACATGTCCATGTTGAGCTGCTGGTGATCCATTTCGCCGCCTTTTCTGGGCCAAAATATATTACTGCTAGCCAATTACAGAGGCAAAACTATTTTCGGAGAATTTTGTCTTTTTGCCACGAAGCTCTTGTACTCTGCTTGCACTTCGTAGGAAATTAAATTTGTTAACTTTACTTTTACTTTTACTTTTACTAAAAGGTTTTAAAATTCAAGAAAACGAAATGGGTGCGATTTGTTTTTAATTTAACGAAGGATTCTTACACCGCCTTTATCAACATCCATTTTATTTTAAACAGACTTGAATTAAAGATGTGTTTTACTAATTAAGTTATGGAAATGTAAATATATTATAAATTATCGCTGTAAAAGAAGATATATTGACAGGCAAACAATTTATTGACTCCTGATTAAAATATGGATTTATAATTTGGTAAAGCTCTTAAATAAGCTGTAAGCTGCAATAAGTATCGATAATCATTTGTTTAATTTAAGCCCATTTCCATTAACATATTCACTTATTTGTAAAACGCACATCCCTCTCAATAAACCAATCCAATCAATTAGCCAATTTACCCCGCTCCAAGTCCCCAGAAACTTGCCTCGCTGCTCGATTTGCTGTTGGGTAAGCATTTTGATATTCGGCTTTTGGTTTGCGGTCGTTTTCATAATTTCAACGGTGTGTTCATTAAATTAAAGTGGCCCAGATCTATAGGCACGCAAAGTGGCGCAAATGTAATCACAATTTCAAAAGCCTTTAGCTATGAATGGGCGGCGACATGCTTAACAGCTCAGAACTATCCCGGCCCAATTCCGCCCACTGACTTCGGCCCGGCTCTTGATTCGAACTTCAATTTACAAGTTGGCCAAGTTGTTTGCCAAGCTCCGCTGGCCGCTGTGCGCACAACTTTGGCCCAAAGTATTTGCGCGCAGGCAGCCGTCTCATTGTAATTTAAATAAGCCAAGGATTCGACGGGGCGCTGGGGGGTTCTGCAACTGGAATCCAGCTCCGACTGCCAAATGTCAGCGACAGATTCCCGAGATGGCGACGGAGGCGACGACAGTTGGCTTTGCTCGCCTCCCAGAAGTCCATTAGCAATGGTTTTTACAGCTTGGCACACATTTGCGGACCCACCGGATTCGACCCACCTAGCCATCTAGCCACCCAACCAACCCACAAGCTCCACCCGAGTGGCCCCTACTTGGCCAACCTGCCCACTTCTTCAACAGGAACGCGTGAGATTTTACTCGCAAAAGTTTTGCGCAAAGTTTGTTTTAACGCACGATTTGCCGAATTCCGAATGCCGCCTGCTGTTGATATCATATTCCGACCGGCCACGCCCACTATACGGCTTGCCTCCTTGATTTATGCTCTGGGGTGGCAGCTCTGCCGGATTTTCAGGATTTCCTTTTGTCGGCAAAGGTGTAAAAAAGTTTTTTGGCCTGACTCTGAATTAAGTGGGGTAATGTGGGAAGGCCAGAAAGCTGGAGACCAGAGAGTCAAATGAATGCGTTTTGAGTAATAATATTATCGTAAAGATGATCTCGGAGAGCAGTGTAAAACAAAATGCAAGTGGCTTAAATAAAATGAATACCCAAACGCTTAGGAAGATTAGCAAGTGTCATTGCGGAATCACATTTCACATTTAAAGGGAACTGGGTATTTTTCAACATCAAGTTTCAGTTTTCGGAATGAAATAAAAGAAATATTTAACTACGCACAATTGTAAGGAGATAAGGAAGTCTCATAGGAAGGGAATTGTATATATTTATAGGTGTTTAGAGAAGGGGCTATGTGAATTTATTCTCTTATTTATGGTTTCTAATGGCTGTGTAATGCAGAAATCCTGTGAGTCTAAGCATTAGATAAACTTAGGAACTTTACGTAAATACTTTCCGAAAACAAATGCACTTTCAGGAGATTTTTGCGAAAACATTAAAAGCTTCTTTTAAATTGCCTCACTTACCATTCCCAGCTTTATTGACCTAAACCACATGCTACGAGCACTAGGCAATTCCTCGACTTTAATCTTCAGTGGATTGTTTGTAATTCCATATTTATTTGAAAAATGTAAGCGCAAAATATTCATACTTAAGCAGCTAACAATTGTGGCCTGCAGTGGTTTTAGCCAACTTTTCCATAACTTGTTTGTTTTTCCAGAATGGTTTTTTAGCACAAACACACACACTCTCATGGGACGGGCAACTTTATTTACACTTAAATGCAAAAATTTGCTCAACTTATTACCGTTGTTATTGTTGTTTTTGCTGTTGCATCTAAACTTTTCCCGCTGCCAGTTGCGTTTCTCGTTTGTCGTTTTTGGCTTAGTTTGCTTTAGTCCGCAGTCCGCAGTCCACAGTCCGGAGTCCACTCCGAAATATCCCAGCCCCCTCCGCTCGAAAGCTTCATCACACTTTGCGCCTGCCGCTATGCAACATTTTTTATTTTTTGTTCCTCCGCTTGTTTGGCTGTTTGTTTGTCGTCGGTTGCATATTTGTGAATGCAAATGTTTGCAGAGCTCCAGGAGGCGTGGGAGTTGGGCTGTCGGAGTAGCCTGGCGGCTTCCACCTTCCAGTGCACGTAAATGCCAAGCAATTAGCAAGTGCCAGCCGCCACCCACATTACCCATCCGCCGCGTGACCGTCTGCTCTAATTAGTTGAGCTAAACAGACGAATTGAGTCGGACAAACCGCCGCCAGCGGCCGATGGCATTAAGTGTGAAAATTGAATTTCCACATCACTCGCACGGCAAACGACTAGGACAACAACAACAAAAACCAAAGCAACAACAACAGGAACAGAAACGACAACGGCAACAGCAAACGGAAATTGTGCAAATTTTGTGGGCGGAATTCTGAGAATATCAAGTGGGCTGGGCTCTGGTTAGGGGTATGGGTAAGCTATGGGTCCTACCAGTTAGATATACTACTCGGAGTGGGGTGACTTGGAAAGTGCCCCTTTCCCTCGGAGGCAGAGCACCTGGCATCGTCAGCACCATTTGCATAGTGGATGCACAGTGGTTGACACGTTTTACACTCAAACAGACACCGAAAGGTACAAGATTTTTTTGCAAATCGAATCAATATTAGTATGCGCTAAATAATCCTACTTCTACATTCTTTCAAATAACTTTAGAAAGTCCATGTATGCAATCAGATAGTGCTATCTGATTTGTGTTAGTAGGTTTCCTTCCTATAATTCTGACAAAAGAAGAGACAAAATGTCTTAAGTCTCAATTAACTTCCACTGTTCCACTGTACCTAAGAGTTTGCCGCTAGTCGAGGGACTTTGGGAGTGCAAATCGAATAAAAATGGAGCGGAAACTCTAATGAATTTATGCCGCAGCGTTTGCCAAGACTTCCCAAGCAACATCAGCAACGTGGGCCTTAACGAAGAAGGGTCTAACTCGGACTGATTGAATGCTGGGAGTTCTGTGTGTGCGAGTCCTTTGCTGATGACACTGCGCCCCACATCCCGTTCTCATTTTGCTTCCATATTCATGCGATATCGTTTGATTTGCACTGTTTTTTATATCCTGGTATGGTTTCCTCCTGTTTGTTTGCAGTAAAATTCCTACGCGAAGTAACGCCCTACTTTCGGAAGGCGAGCATCATCTCGGAAGTGGGCTGGGAGCTCCAGCGGGCCTTCCTCTGTCCGCTGGGACCAGGTGTGCCCACCTCGCCGCCCGCCCCTAAGACGACACCCAGGGCGGACACACGATATATCCCTCTGCAGCTGACGCATCTGGCCAGGAATCTCAAGTACATCGACCCGGGTAAGATATTTTATTTTGAAAACTTATAATTAGGAGTAACCTGTAAAGTTAGTAATAGAGATGAAGAGCTAAAAATGTTAGTTTTTGTTAGTAGCTTCCTTTCGGTATGCAATTATATAATAATGTGATAATATATCTTCCTTCCCCAGAGAATCGCTGCTTCGAACTGCACTCACCAGACGGAGTGCACTCCTGCATCCTGCGTGCGGCGGACTCGGCGGAGGCCTTGGTCTGGTTCAATGCCCTCCACTCGGCGATGGGCAGCAGCACGCAGCGGGCTTTGGCCGAGGCCAACCGAGCCCTGACCAACCTCATCGGAGAACTGAAGCACATCGGTTGGCTGAGCAAGCGGATGAGCGGCAGCGGAGGTGGCAGTTCAGGTAGCGCCGGAGGTGGAGCGGCCAGCGGGGGTAGCGGCACCTCCAACAGCGGCGTAGCCGGCGAGCTGGTAAGTGTAAGTTGACCCATAATCCCGTTAGATTATGTACTTATGCATAATTAAAAACCAATACTTTAGCCTTACTTGTAATTCAAAGAAACCCAAAGCTTAGAACAGAGTAAATATTTAACAACTTATAAAAGCTTTGTGATTAAGTTAAGTCTCTAGAAATATAACTAATATAGAATGAATTTATTTTAACAAACTGTTGAAAATACGGAGATTTACGCTTAGATTTGCTTAGGGTTATTTATTTTATTACATCTATATTCTGTGTACATAATCCTAACTTGTAGAACTTTTGTGATCCACAGCCCAGCGGTCGTTCCAGTTCAGAGAGTTCCGATGAGAGCGACAAGTGGCTGCCCATCTTCGTGGCGGTCACAGAGCGCGAGTTCCGGATATACGAGAGTGCTCCCTGGTCGGTGGAGGCTTGGAGTCGTCCCCTGGAGATCTATGCCCTGGCCACGACCCGTCTGGCAGGAGCCGGCAACAATTCCTCCCTGAATGTGAGCAAAAAACTGCCCTCGAAGTAAGGCAAATATTTTAAGAATTGTATCCTTTGCAGGGCCAGCAAACCACGGTGTTCTGCGTCCGCTGCGGCACCGCCCGTGGGGTTCTCGTCTACTGGCTGCGCTCGGAGACGCATCGGGACATGGCCGCCTGGGCCAGATCCCTCGTTCAGGGCTCCCATCAGGCGGTCAACTACCAGAGGGAGTTCTCGTTCCGCTGCCTGTTCCAGGGCCGGCAGTGTCAATTGGTTGTGCACATAAATCGTGGCTTCTTTCTGTACGATTGCGGTGGATTCGCTCCGACCACTCCGACGGTGGCTACCTCCAAGACGCAGCTCTGGCAGTTCGCCTTCGACAAGCTGAAGGGCTCCGCGGATGATGGCAACCGGATGTTGTATCTGGACTTTGGCGATGACGGGGAAATTGTGAGTCTTAAAGAGATATTTCTAATATAATAATTTAACTCTTAAATTGTTGTTTTTAGGAACTTGACATGGAATGCTGTCCCAAGCCGGTTGTTTTCGTGGTGCACAACTGCCTGTCGGCCAAAGTTCATAACATTGCCTAGGACGAGGTTGAATTAGAAGGGACAATCGAATAATTGTTGATGTTTTGGATATAGTCGATGTATATTTGGGTTCCGTAAACACAACTGTGCAAATTATGTTGTAATTAGATTGTCCAATCTGGTATTGTTTTTCAAAAAGTATTATTACTTACATTTCCACCAGACTCTTAGCCTAACCTTTGTTTTTTATTAAGCTTTGGATACATTTCTTTAAGTGCAATATTTTGTTAACTCTGTCAATTAACCCAGATGTAATAAATAAATTCGCATTTAACGATTTAATTTGTAAGCCTAATTTGTAGATCAGCCTAAAAGCTGGCCACAAAATATTACGATTCGATATGAAATTGTAGCTTCTGTTCTGCCTAAAATATTAACATTTCTAAATGTAAGTCTTACCGAAATAACGACTTAGTTAATATAGCAAGGAAAGGATTAGATAGTGGTAGATGAGTGAGCATTTCGCGCTTCCTGGTGGCCATGGAAATAGATTAGATGGATAGCTATAGCTGGAAGATGAAGACAGGAAGGTAGATCTTTGAAAAAAGCTAAGGAAAAACACGAAGCACAAACCAAAAATATAAAATAATGACAAACAGAACAACTTTATTTAACTTGTAAGTAGTCATAAATTCATTTTATACGTGTGTCGTCTACACAGAATACCATCTAAAGTGAAATCGAAAAACGAAATCTAATTCTATAACTCCACAACATTTGCATAAACGTTGAACAATAATTATCATAATTGTACTTAACTAATTGTATCTTGAATCTTGTATCTAAACGAAGCACACATATCTCGAGGCCCACTCTGTGGCATCGATACCGATCGCGGACTAGGCTCCAGACTAAACTATATATAAGCCATATAGTTACCTAACGATACGAGTATATCCAGGCCATTTCGCAATTTCTCCCCACTCTTCATGTACAAGCCATCGATCATATGCAATTATTATACATTTATATCTACATATAACACGACACATACTCATTTTATGAAATTAGAAATTTCGTTATAGACAAAGCCACACAAAAGAAGAACAACAAAAGTAATACAAGCAAACAGTAATGACAGAAATCAATAAGAAATAACAAAGCATAAGACGTACAATATTTTTAACGTAAGTAGTGTTGAATCTTCGATAATAAACTTATATATATAAATACTATACCATCAAATACTGCAGTTTTCTTTTCTTATTTTTTAAAATGGTGGGACTTTGGCCTGAGGCAAACTAACATTTAAATATGATTTAGTGTGATTATCTAAATTCCAGTTTATTTTAGATAAAACATCAGAACAACATAAGAACATTAGGCTCACTTTGCTGGGAGGCAACCACAGGAATCCAATTAAAGAACGCACAAACGCAATTACTCCAAGTTAACCCTTCAACGACTGCTGTCCATTTTATGCCTGCAAATATTTCTCTGGGTCAGCAGGCAATCAATGAACTTGTAGCCTGTTGCCATTGTTGTTGCCCTCAAGACACATTTATTTCCTGTGAGCATGTGTGTTTATGTGAATTTATTTTCAATTTTATCATTTCCCATTTAAGACGAAAACAAAGTCACCCGAAGAACGTGACCAGCATGTCCAACAGCTGGCACGGTCAAGCCACTAACTTTGCTCATCACAAAGTTAAACCGACAAAACTACACAAGCTCACACACACACAAGCTTACGCACAAGTACATAGGCCGTACATATAGTTAAGGTCAAGAAAATAGTTACTTCAATAAATTACAATGTTTAGAATCTGGAAAGAATAGCTAGCCTTCCGATATCGCACTCAATGCTATGTAGGCCTTTTTTGAGTATTTTATAAATTATTATTTCCTAACGAATAGACTGAATATGGTTCCATATCTGTTTAATTACTGAATAGTACATTTTGTATACAATTTAAATGATCTTATACAATACAAAATTACTTAAAAGAATGCCCACAAACTCAAATTTGAGAACCATTTGGAATTTATTTTTAAATAATATTTGTTACTATTATTTTGACCCCACCTGTATGCGATCTAGTATGTGTGGCTGAGGTAAAGGCGAAAATGTAAAGTGACTTTTTGGGGTTGGCACTCTGGCCATCGTTGCGGTCAATGGGGCTGTGTGGAGCTTAAGGTGTAGTGACCCAGGCAGTTCTGGCCTCCTACAATGCCACCACAGACTCGCACAACACCCTCCGACAGACACTCACACCCACAGACTGTGGGAATTACATTTCCGGAATGGGCCGCTTGCGGAAGTTTCGCGTCAAATTAAATGCTCAGGGCCAAAATTATGACAGCTCCCGAATGGGAGGGAACCACTCGTATAAATACGCCCGTCTGGAATGGACTGCCATCAAATCGTCAACAAATTGACCAGCGAACATGTGGAAAGGATTCGTATGCACTCTGCTCTGCCTGGCTTTGGTTCAGGCAGCTGTTATCCGTCCCGAAGGGGATTCGGAGAATCCGGAAACAACAACTAGTGTGGTTATCCTGGATCAAGAGGGGGATGTCACCACCGAGGAGTCCACAACTTTGGCGGGCCCTGCTTTGAGCCGCGATGAGGAGGCCAGCATACTGATAGATCCCGCCCCAGGCACTTTGCAAGAGGATAGCCCCGTTGTCCAAGAGAAATCCGGGAAGCTTCTACTGCTTAGTACAACACCCAAGCGACTGCATGAAAATGAGCGGCAATTGGAGGAGCAGGATGACGAGGCGGAGGACAACAAGGCTGATGCTGAGCCAACCACAACTGAGCAGCCAAAGGAAAACGCAAAGCAGATGGAGGAGGAGGTCACCCCGGAAAGTTCAACCACAGAAAGCAGCACAATTCCGACCACGACCTCGACCACGACCAAACTGTTTGCCATCGATGCCACCCCAGCCGGAGTGGATTACCCGTCACCGAACATGGCCATATCCCTCTCCCAGGACAATGAAAATGCTACGGTTTCGATTGCAGAGCAGCCGCAGGTGCCCGGCGACAATAATGCGGCCGTAGAGTTGGCCCTCGTGGAGCCGGAGGCCGAGTACGTGCTGGTGGATGGCAGCCACGATGACCTGGACCTCCAGCTAGCCAGCTTCACGCACATCGACAGCGATGTCCACTTGCAGCCGGTGGTGCATTCCGTGGAAATCGTCCCCACCAGCTTCGATGATCCTTTGATTGTCAATTACGTGCACAATTTGCGATGACTTGGCCAGGGAGGCGTGCCCGGACGAATCAATTAACCCGGTGCCATTGTCCCAGGGACTCTGTTAAAGTTTCTTCTTAACGTTTTATGACTTTTGTTACCTTATGAATATACCTCTCAGTCGGCTTCTTACAAGGCCTTTACCGAAATAAAATAAACGTATACATTAAATTGAAAGCTTTTGGAAGACTTTATAGTAAAGGCGAAGAATCCGTTTCACAATACTAGAGAATTATATAAAGTTTGTACATTTGTAATATCTATTTAAAAATCTACTAAAAATAAGTACGTAGAATATTTGCTTGCGTTAGCTCATGTTCTTATTATTTCATCCCATTCAAAATCCGATGCTAATGTGTTTATCTAAAGAAGATTCAATTGTTTCATTTTAAATTGGTTTTGACAAAAAACAAAACGATTCATAAATATGGCACTTTGTGTTAACATTTATTGGGGCTGTCGCTTCAATTGAATGCCACGAAATTCTCACATAAAATATTCAGAAATATTGCTATAAATGTCTGCCACGAAAACTCCTCCCGCTCAACAAGTCCTTCCCATGGAAATGCAGGTTCAATGGTCTCTGTCGGATTCACCGTCCCACTGCCTTCTACACTCCGATGAGACGCAAAGCACTCGCATACTCGTTATTCAATTTGAATCCTCCACGAAGACGGGATGGGAGGAGATGGAGGCTCTAAGCTCATTCTCCAAACTCGCCCTCGCCTTTCCGCATGCCACGCACGTTCCACGGTTAAAACTTTGCACATCCGCACGTCAAATTTAATACGGATGCCGGGAAGAGGAACTCTACGGCTGTCTCCAGCCATAACCAGTCACAATTTGATAGAAAACAGTTTGTTGCTTGACGCCACTCCTCCTTCAATTGGAAACGAAAACAACATTTAACAAAACACTCAATGACGTTAGAGAAACAAAGTTTGGAACGTGCCGCAACTTCCGGTCGATGAAAACGAAGTGATGACGTTATAATTTGTATGCCTAGAAAAACTTCTATAATCTCGACAGTCATCCTAAATAAAAGACCTAAACTTGCGTTATTTTGTTTTCCACTCTGAAATAACACCTGAGTTTATGGTAAATAACAATAAAGGTCGTTTATTTTTCACACACAAAAGTAACTAAAAATACTGAACTGTTAACAAGAATTAGGGTACTTCTCACCACCGCTGCTCCACATGCGTGGTGTAAACGAATCCGCGGGACCTCGGAGCCTGCATCAGAGGTTGCGACCGCAGGGGAATGGCCACCGGAATGGAGGACGGAGCTCTGGCAACAATGACAGCCGGTCCCACGTTAGCGGTAAAGACCACACTCTCCGCATCAGGTTCATCCTTGGATCCTGGTTCCGGTGTGGGTTTTAAGGGATCAGTACTGACACCGCAGACTGGGTGATCAGCGTTGCTCTCAGTGGAATTGCTGGCGGAGATCTGCTGCTGTTCCTCCGGGTTCTGCTCTGTAGGCAGGCGGAAGGCGCGACTTGGTCGGTATCCAGCTGGTGGATAAGGGGCTTTCACAAAAGCCCGACTGGAACGGGACTCCACTGCAGTAGGAAGAGTTGTGGTGTCCAGGGAATCCCAGCTGGTGGTGGTGCTCCAGTCTCCAGTTGATTCCGTAGTGCTGGTCGAGAGATCCTCAAGAGGCAACTCGGTTGTGGTGGTTAGTTGATCCGCAGGCAGTCCTGACCCTTCCAGGACCTCTACTTCCACTTCGGCTGGCACTTCTCTGACCTCAACCTCCACTTCTCCTGGCAGCCAGAAGGAGCGACCTTGTGGCCTATAGCCCGCTGCTGGATATGGAGCTGCCTTAACCTCAACAGCCTGATCCTCCTGCACACTGGCCGCATACCGATTTATCCTTATTTGTCGAGCTTCGATCTCGAGGGAATTAAATGCGCAAAGGCAAAGGACAACGTGTAGAAGCCACTGCATGATGAACTTTCGATCTCGGCCCGGATTTAGACCCAACTGATTCCCGGTACGATTGTGGGCGATACTTTTATACAAAGTTCTCGAAATCGAGAGTCGTCCCGGGGAATATAGACATGAAGCTTCTATATCGCCACGACATCGATTAGGCGCACACTTAATGATTTATTTTGCATAGGTTTTTGTTTGTTTCTGGTCACCGCCGACAGAACCACGTCCGCCGCCAACTCATCCTCCATATCGCCCACGTTATCACCGGTCTCCAACTGCCACACTGTCCGATGTCCACGTCCGATTCGCCATGTTCTATGAAAATTAAATGCGTTTCGTACGTGACACGCACTCCAATCCCCAACCAATTGAAAGCGAAAACGAATCCAAGTCTCCATCGACATCGCCCGCTGTTGTCAATTGCATTATGCTGGAATTGTCAGTTCGAGTGTTAGAATTTTTGATTAAACGCTTATAATCGATATTTATGCGATCAACGATTCGGCGTTGAGGTGACCACCAAGGTCACTTCGCCCATTCCCCAATCTATTGCCTTAAGTCACGTCCTGAACTATCGTTACAAGATGATGACTTAATATAATATAATTATTAGGTGTGAACGCATAAGAAAGCTTAAAATAATTGAACACTATTAACTTGAATATAATAAACTACAACATGTTGCTCTTGTGTACCTTAAAACCTTATTATTCATGAATATACTTTAATTTCTTAATTTTTTAATTGTATTTATGAAGCAACTTCTCACAAAATAAACCTAAATTGGCGAAATACCTACCTTTCCTAGCTAACATATCTTAATTGCTGGGTAAATAGGCTTAAGTTATTCTCAAAACAAAGTCATCCCCCTAAACTAGATCTTCCTCCCACTTCCAGTATCCCAATATCCTTTAACTTCACCCCAGATTTACGACCAACCATTAATTTCACCTCATGTCACATTAAGAGCGTTTTAATGTTGAGCGATTGGTTCCATCGAGGCGGATAACTCCTCTGATTTTGGACTGATTGCTGTCGGAACCTCGGACCTCTGCTTCTGCTTCCTCTTTCTGGTCACGTCGTGGGCACATAAAGACACCGCAGACACCACCGATCGTGGGCAACAAGACTATAGTAGTGTTCCGACGTCAGCGCATAGGTCCAAAAAAGGATGCCCGTACTGGGTCCACGCGCCGCACACTAAACAGGTGCCCATCCAAGTCCTACCTATAAAAGCGCCCAGGGGAGCTCTTCAAGTCATCAGTCGTTGGCTCTGCCTTCCCATAGATACACTTCCATTCAACTCAAACATGGCCAAGTTCCAAGTTATCCTCGTCGTTGCTGCTCTCAGCTTGTTGGCCGTTTCTGAAGCCCAGAAGCAGCGCTATTCGCAGCGCTTGAGCCGCGGACGTTCGAGGTATTCCGCTCGCCAGGAGCTGGCTCCAGCGGACGGTGCTGATCCGGATGCTGTGACGCCCTATCCTTCGGCTGACGAACTGAAACCGGAAGTGCCCTTCGATGAGGCTGCGGCTCCCTCAGCCGTGGAGCCCACACCGGATGCCGTTTACGGACCGCCAGACGCCGCGCCCAACAACGTTCCCGACGAGGTGTACGGCCCACCAGACGTGACCGGAAACGATCTGCCCGCAGCCGCTGACATTCCGGCCGAGCAGCAGGCTCGCTTGGTGGCTGCCAGGAGGGCGTCTAACTACAGGAGAGTCGCTCAGCCCTTGGCCTATCGTCGTCTGGCACGTCCGGCGAAGTTGAGCGCTGCCCGCTCTAACGTGCGACGTTTCTAGATGAAATGCAAGGTAATTAATTGTTTAATAAAAACACGACAGGTACTAAATATGTCAATATTTAAGACCTTTTTCCCTGATAAATTCTAATTCATTTTGCTTTTTAAAATATCTTCACAATAACTTACTTAACACCAAAAAAGGAATTTTCAAAATCAGCTTAAAGCTCTTTAACATTACTGTATCAATATTATTTGCAATTCCAGCAGCCAACTCAATACAAAAACCCATGACGATCCAAGCCAGCCACGATGACGACAAAGGCCCAGACCCAAAACACTTTTACTCACCTGAAACAACCGACATTCACATGAAAACCTTACTCGATTATAATATAAAGCAAATAAATCATGACCTGACATAGAACGTTCTTTTTCTGGCAGACACTTTGGTGATTCACTTGAGCAGAGAAGTGAAGCAAAATTCGCTAGACGCGCCCGAAAACGAAGTTTCCTGCCAATACGATCAAGGGGTATGGATCCATATTGGAGAGCGTGGCTGAAGGGGAAGACCAGAAACCAGTTTGGGAACGCACGCTTCCCAAAGCGGTGACGAATTTGGGATTGCCCCAGCCGCAAAAAACAAGAAATAAACTTGGCTTCATCACTACAGCGAAGGGGAAATACTCTTAATTCTGCTACGAATTTAAATAAAAATGGTCTTTCATTTAGTAGTCAATGGAATATACGTAACATTTTTAAAAACGTACAGAAATTGATCAAATAAAATGAGTGAAAATAGTTGTGTCTGGCTGAGAGTCCTGAAGTAATAGAGCCACTTAACATAACATTGAGATAAGGAAAGGCAGTTCAACAAGGCATACGGACAATATTTTAGTAAACACAACTTTACACATTTTCCATAGAAATACAAAGACTGTGAATGAGAGACTGTATATTATGATGTGGGATCTTCACATTTAATTAGTCTCAGCAAAAGCTCATTCAAAATACAGAACAGTTTTCGATTTCAACGAAATATTATATCTCCTTTTCAACATGTTTACCTGTTAAATATAAATGTATTAATATTGTGAAATATTATATTATTTATTTTCTTCTTATTACTTTTAATATATATATATATATATATATCTTTCTTTCTGTGTACTTCTCTGACTCAAAGAAAAGCTGCGGTCGAGCAGAGAGTAGAAACTTATTTAAATAATCTTACGATCTGCCTGAGCTCAGTTGTCGTGGAAGATCAGACCAGTTAGCATCGCGTGGAGTCAACAGAGAAAATCGTAGAGAAAAAGTGAACTTTCCCTTTAAAAAATGCTGAAATTCATCTTAAGTGCGGCTATTCTCATCATGACTCTCTTGGAAAATCTCCAAGCCCAAAGACCCTCCTATGCGGGTCTGAGGCCACCACTTGGACTAAGTCAGAAGGACAAATACCATGCAACTCAAAACACGGCTGTTGAGAACTTCACGGGAGTGGATATAGCTACGAGATTTGGAGAGGACACCAATTCACAAAAGCCAGCTGTCATCGTTTTGCCCTTTGGTGCATCCCAGAGACCTCCCGTTGGAGTTTCCATAGTGCAGCCAATAAATACATCTCCTCAGGTGGATGCTCCTACTGTAGCCAACCGATTCGGAGAAGCGGACTCGCCGAACCAAGCTACTAGTTCCACGACCGGGAGTCCCGCAACCCCAGCGGCCCCCGTCCTCAATGAGCTTCCCGTCGATGCTCAGGGTGATCGGGAGTTGGTTAACTACTTGAGTCAGCTGCCAGTGGAAAGCCAGCCCTTCTGGTTCATTAACCACAAGGCCATTGAGGCCCATCGAAACGGCTCGAGACCCAATGTGGGCGCTCTAGAAACGCGGGGATCTTTCTTCCGCGGTTAACAGCGTCAACGGGGTTTTTCTAAAGTCTACGCTTAGCTTATATATATTCCCGAATTAAAATATACAATAATTTATTTATTTTTAAAAAACATCTTTTCCTTTGTAATAGGCTGTGATAACCTTTACCAAAGTTATCATCTATAAAATGATAAGACTCAATCGGTTTCCCCAGCCCTAGCAGTTCAAATGCTCAGATGATGATTTGCGATTTATTTAAGGCTGATGCCTATAAAACAAAAGCCTCATCAATCAAGAGGGAACCTATTCAAGCAATACTATCGTCTTTTCTAAAATGGAATTGCATTCGGAATTCCCGGCTTTCCCAGCTGATCGTACAGAGACAGAGCAGCCGTGATTATTGATTAGTCTCAAAAGAATAAATATATTTTTGTTCTCCGAACATTCTAAAAAGATAACCAAGTTCTTTTGTCGTTTCATGATAATAAAACTTATTGTAAACATATTAAACTTTTCAATTTTTTTTAACAATATTCTGTTAAACTAACTTTATGTGTACTTATCTGGCATTCGCCAAGAACATAGGTCACCGTGAAAATAGTATACATTTGGCATAATTATATAACAACTAATAAAATATATTTTATTTTAATTTTGAACTAACTAAAATTACTTTATTTCCTGGTAAATGATTAGTCGCTGTATTAGACATATAACACTTTCTTAATACTATACATCCATTTACCATCTATTAGGTTCCAAACCTTAATAGATCAGAATTTGTTAAAACTTGTTTCTAATACGGTGTACATAATTCTTTTGAGTTAGCCGGAACAGTTCTTTTAACATTGTTACGCTCATTTCTGCTCACACAGTTTAAAAATATGGTAAAAAGTAATTTAAAAACTAAAAAGAAACACAATCCTATGCATAATTTTGACGGCAGGCCGTTTTAAATGCCCTATTTCTGCTCCTAAGAAAAACAAAACGAATTGCCAGCTCCAATCTAACTTCTTGGTTACAAATAGAACAAGAGGAAACGCAATAGTCGAGTGCCGCGACTATAAGATACCCGTTACTGTTTCACACAATTTTAAAATATTAATTTTGCTAGTGGAAATTCACAAGGCGCCACCTATTGTCAGAGGAAGTATGTTGAGTATGCTTATAGTGACGTCACTCCCCATGTGAGGCCTTATAACTTAATTTCTTTATAAATAGCGAAATAATGTTCCGATTTGAAAAATCTTTGGTAAATCGATAGATATTAACAGAAATAAGTTATAAAGGGTCAAACGAAGGCATTCATAATAATGTTATAGACGCCACAGTTTTCCGCGGTTTGTGGGCGTTAGAGTGGGCGCGGCCACATGCAACTTCGTAGCGAGTTGCAGAGACATCTCTTAAATACGTGTTCTTAAGCAAAATTTTGTAGCTCTTATAGCTTTCGAGATTTTTGCATTTTTGGTTTTTCGGGTTTTGTGGGCGTTAGAGTGGGCGTGGCTTCATCGGAAAAAACCAATTCGCATTGGGAGCATTATTTAAACCTACATGTTTGATCCGAATTTTCTATCTCTTATAGTTACCGATATATCAACTTTTCTAGAAATTCCGAAAACCGTCTTTTGAGCCTTGTGGGCGTATGAGTGGGTGTGACCGGATAGTAGAACCACTGTAAGATGCGCTAGCATGTAGATATTATACTTTCTGAATTTCAACTTTCTAGCTCCAATAGTTCTTGAGATTTCAGCAATTTTAGTTTTTTGCGATTTGTGGGCGTTAGAGTGGGCGTGGCAGGATGCTGTAATAAACTTGCGCTGTCCCGGGACCTCAAGAATTTTCATGGTTAATCTCAACTTTGTATCTGTTATAGTTCCTGAGATCTCAGCGTTCATACGGACGGACGGACGGACGGACGGACGGACGGACGGACGGACAGACGGACATGGCTCAATCGACTTCGCTATTGATCCTGATCAAGAATATATATACTTTATAGGGTCGCAAACGCTTCCTTCGATATGTTACATACTTTTCAACGAATCTAGTATACCCTTTTACTCTACGAGTAACGGGTATAAAAACACGAAGAAACGCTGTAGTCGCTAGAGTGTCGCGACTATAAGATACTGTCTTATCCAACTTTAAAATAATAATTTTTCTAACAAACACTAACGCAGTAATACGCTGTAGTCGAGAGCCGCTACTAAAAGATACCTATTACTGCTTTACACAATTTTAAAATATTCATTTTGCTAGTGGAAATGGACAAAGCAATACCTTTTGTCAAAATGTCATGTTTTCTAACTGATGGTGACATTTCATGTGAGGCCTTATAAACGGACTTCGCTATTGATACTGATCAAGAATATATATACTTTATAGGGTCGGAAACGCTTCCTCCAACCTTTGACATACTATTCAACGAATCTAATATACCCTTTTACTCTAAAACTATCGAGTGTAATGACTATTCTAATAATACTTTTAAGAAAGGGTGTTTTTAAACGTTAAAAATGTTTGGAACGTTTTGAGCGGTGTTTATAGGTGTATCTAATGAAGTTCATTAGGATGCAAATACAAATTTACGCTCATGAAAGCACACGCCATTTGCTGTTTGTGTTTATTTTTCATTTTAATATAAAACACAATTTTGCGGAAAAGTTTAAGTTGAGTTTGCTCAGACCAAAAACTGAAAGTAATCGTTTAAGAACTGAGCAAATTTACTCCGCATCACAATAAAAACTAAATGGATTCTGGATTTCTCATTTGTGGCTCAAGTGTTCATAAAATTTGAAATTATTTAAATAATCTTACACGGTAACCGCAATCAGTTGCTGGAAAAGATCTGAGAAGTTAACATCGCGAGGAGTCACGAGAAAAATACAAAATAAATTTTATTTCTCGCGCAATAATGGGAAAACTTATTTGTACATTGGCTATTATTGCAGTTGCTCTGCTAGAAGTTGTTCTGGCTCAAAGACCCTTTTTCGCGGCTATAAGACCTCCAGATGGATTGAGTCAAAGGGACAAATACATTGCAACTCCAAAATCAGCTGCGGAGGATATTAACGGAGTTGCAGATGCCTTTCCGCGACATAAGCGGATGATCGACCTATCCAATGGAGCACTCAAGAGATCCCGCAGACAGACTCCAGTGGACCCAGGTTTCAGCGCAAGAGCTCAACTACCGGCTTGGTTATTAAATGACGCCTTCAAGGGCGGTCTATTCAAAATCTTCGATCTTCAGTTAATTCGAGGGCTATTTCGTGCGTGGCTTAAAACCTTAAACAGTTTGCTTTTTGCAGCTAACACTGGATTAATGCTTGCAAACACGAAATTAAAATTCATCTAAAAACTATAACAAAATAAAACATTATAGTAGAGTGCTTCGAAATTTGACTTTTATATTTTCTTACTTATAAACTTAACAGACTTAAGGAAGAATGTTTTTATATAGAGACAAATCTGAGCAAACATTACATTTCTAAGAACTTTATCAACTGCTTTGAAATATAACTTTTTGTTAATCGAAAGTGTAACTCAGGGTTTACCAATTCGCTTAGTCTAAAATAATTTCGAAGAAGAGTCTGCTAATTAATTACTGGTTAAATCTGTTGCTCATATCACATATGGCAGTTTATTAATTGATAGTGATGCAACTGTTCCTGTAAGACCTTCTTCTTTAAATTCTTAATAATTTGTGATTCGATAGAGAGAGAGTCTACAATCCATAACTTTGACCTTAATATCAGAGACGTCACAGCTTCGGGTTGTGGGCACCTTGAGTCGCAGGTATCTCTAGAATATGTTTGCTTCATACTTTTATAGTTCAGAAGATTTCCGCGTTCATATGGACAGACGGATAGATTGACGAACAGATGGAAACGCCTGTTGATTTAATATATATATTGATCTTTAGATACATTTGGATCTATTTGGAAGGAAGAATTGATGCTATTTACGAGAAATTTCTAACGAAAGATATTTTAGAGAGCTAAAAAACGTATTTTCAATTTAATAAAGTATTTATTTCACCTTTTCATGTCAAGATTTTTCATCTTTAAACTTGCAATATTTCATAACAATCTTAGCGTATATCGATGTCTGGGTAATCCGGATCCGTTTCTAATTGATCCGATGCGGAGGCTTGGAGGATGACCATGGTCACAATGAAAATAGTGGCAAAACAAATATATTTCAACATTTTTGAAAAGGAAATTAGCTTTTCGTTGATAATGTCTTTTGTGGTTCCACGTGGTGTTAACTGGTTGAATCTGCTCCAATAACTATTTACAGACAGCTTGAAACACTATTTATATAGGCTTAAGCATTGAGACTTTCAATATTAATGAAAGTTATAAACAGGGAAACATTTTGACACTGCACGAACGCTTTATATCTATAATATCTGGCATGCAAATTAACAGGATTACCTTAAACAATTCTATACCTTTATGAGTTTTAACTTAAAAGCTTAAAGCTATTAAATACTATTCTGTATTTACATTCCACTCAAAAAGTTTGTAATTAGGAAGTACGTCTCAACTTGTAACGAGGGTTCTGTAAGAAGTCTGTAACAAGGTAAATGGGTCATTGCCGACTTATTAAAAATGTTATTTGTCTCCCTCTTTGGGGGTGTTTAAGGGGGGTGTCTGATATTAAGTGTATTAAACGTAAAGAAAGATTTAATATAAAAAAGCATTAATTTAATTTAATTGTAGCTCCCAATTTTAGCTTTTAGGTACTTTTGCAAAGTATTTCATAAAAATGATAGGTTTTCCTTGAAACCAAGAACGCTCTGAAGTGCAGCTGACAAACTAAGTAATTTGAACTTATCACATTATTGGCAAAAATTATAGGAATTTGGAGAAACACTAGTTCTATTGACTTTTAATTCAAGTTGTTAATGGTTGTCTTTAAATTTGATTAGGAACAAAGGGGGGGACAAAAGAGATACGCTGTTAGGAAAGGAAAGCGATACTATTAATTCTAAATGTAAGAAACAAAATCAGTTCTCCATTTAATATACATTATCACAAAAATTGATTTGACTTGGAGGAAAGTCATTAATGCCTTCAAATATCCTCATCGATATTCCCTGTATCACCCATTATGAAGAGCCGCCAAAATAGCTTAGCGCAACACACACAGAAACTCCTGCTTAAAACGAAACAAAGCATTTAAAATGCATTGGAAAAGGGAGCTAAACTTTCACAAAAGACCATCAAATTGCGGACAAAGTGTACACCAAGACGAGTAGAGCAAGAAACCCTTCAAACGCTGTTAAAGCTATTCACATGTAAAGGGGATATGCAAAAAGGCTGAAAGGGAGGTGGTCCTTAATGCTTTTTCTGGGCCATTGTTAGAGGCCAATGATTTGCAACCAGGTGGTGGTGAGTGAAAACTCTAAGCATTAAGTTGAACCAAAATACCAAAGAAATATCCTGGGATGCATACAATATAAAGAGAATATGTTAATTTAGTTTTAATTGGATTAATACGATTTATTTAGGCAAACATGGCACTTAAATTACTTTTAATCTTGTCAGTTTTAAAAACTCAAATATTACAAGAGACCAACCAAATACAAGCCAGTCAAATAGAACAGACGTTTTAATGAGTTTCGACATTCAAACCTGTTGTTCCTAAACTTTAAATTCTATCTTTTTCCTTGGTGAACCTAAAAATATCCCACTGATAAACAAAACACTCGCTTTCTATTTCCAAAAATATATTTTCAACGACAAAAACAAATCAAATTGAACAATGTGTAAGTAAAGGAAAACAAGAAATTGGTTACCAGCCCAATTGCTGGGGAGCAGCGTTATAGGCAAGATAGTAGGGCTGCTGGCCAGCGCCCACATAGTAGAACTGGGGTGTTGCCAAAGCAGGAGCCTGAGCTACTGGAACAACTGGAGCCACTGCCTCATCAACGGGCAACTCCTCCAGTCGAGCGATGCGTTGGCGCAGACGCTTGGGCTTAGCCACTTGCAACTTGGCCAATCTCTGTCGGCTGCGTAAGCGGGCAGGAGCAGAGGATGGTGTGGTCACCTCCAGGGAGTTCTCCTCGGTGTCAACCTCCTCGGTCTCAGGGTTAGGCTCAAAATTGTCCACTGGTGGCTCCTGATCCGATGGCAAGGCATCAGTATCAACATCCTCAGGAGGTCCGTAGGTCAATGCGGGCTGTTCGGCGGCAGGTTTTAGCTCCGCAGCCGATGGATAGGGAGTGGGAGCCACCTCCTGCCTGGCAAACGCCACCGGACGGAGGCGCAAAGTACGCCGGCGTTGAGTCTGTGCCGTACAAGTCATGGCCCAGATGGCCAGCAGAAGGAAAAGCGAACTGAAAAGCTGGTGACGTGCCATGATCGTGGGACTTGCAGTGGTGCTATGTTGTCCGTCGTATATGGAGCTTTAACTTTTATACCCGCCAAACATCGACGGTGGCCCTGCTGATCGGCGGTCAGTGGTCAGCGATTCTAGCCCGTCGACAACGCGTGCATTTTAAGCAGCTGTTAAGCACTGCGATTTGAAAGCCATCATCATGCGTATGTCAGGCAGGCGCCGCTCAGTGGAGCGGAATTTAAAGTGCTATCAAAACTCTAACCCTAGTTGCCCATGTAGCCATTTGGGTGGACCTTAGAAATTTTTATTGTCTTAGAAGAACTATTTTTCTTGTGATATTAAGTTTTTCAACGGCAAAAATAGAACATTTTTGGCATAGTAATAAAAAAGAAAATCCTAACATTTTATTAAGCTTATGATGGAAAATATAAATACCTTTACTACGATAAATAAATAAGTTCTAAAAATATTTGTATGATTTTAAAGTTTATTAAAATTGTTTATTACGTATGGTACTTGGAAATTCAAAAGTCCACCCCATTTACTCACAGTGGGCCCAAGTTAAGTGTCAAAGTTAAGTACTCGCGGGTTATTATTAAGTGCCAATGGTTATGGCTAAGACATGGGCCCTTGACAAAATATTGTCACGTCTATAGGCCACCGAAAGGGTGTCCGTCGGTGTGCCAAATATGAGTGGCCAAAAACCGAAACCAAAAATCAGGTATAAAAAGCCAGCGACTTCCAGTTATCGACATCATTCTAAGATAACGCAACAGCAGCTCAACATGGCCCACAAGTTCATCTGCTCTCTGCTCCTGCTCGCAGCCATTGCTTCGGTATCGTTGGCGGAACCAGCTGGATTCCGTAGCCGATCATCTCGTTTCCAGTTTGCCCGTCAGGAACAGGCCCCAGATGATCAGACTGCTCCGGTCGATCCAGCCGTGGATATTGCGCCTACCCGGGACTCAGCTCCTTATCCGCCAGCAGGAGTTACTCCGGAGGTTCCCTTCGACCTGCCCACGGAGACAGAGGCTCAACCTGATCTGACCTACGGACCACCAGCTGAGCCCGACAACACCTACGGACCACCCGATAATACCTATGGACCCCCCGCCGCTCCTGATAACACCTATGGACCTCCAGCTGATGGCCCAGTTGATCAGGCTCCTGTGGATGCAGCGGAACCCGTTCCAGCCAGTCTGATCCAGCCTCGTAATGGACGCCTCCGCAGCCGTCGCCCCGTCCCAGAGAAGCTTCGTTCTGCCCAGATCATCCGGTCCAAACCAGTGCTGGTATACTCCATTTGAAGTGGGTCAACACGAATTTCGTAACATCCGAATTGATTCGAACCATTAGGATACACGCCCCTAATTTTGTTGCTAAATAAATAACCGATTTGTTGTTGAATATTTTAAATTTATGTGTTTTGATTTAAATGTATCCATTACGATCTTGAAAATTTAATTTAATTAATGATTTCAGTTATATGTACTAAAGGCTTACGTATAAGGGTAGTCTTAACCATTAATTTCCGTTACGGTGAAGAGTTTCGGGTATATGATCAGCGTTAATCAATAATTCCAGTCGCGTTGAAAATGGTAAGACAACGGTTCTCGATTTTCTTGGTGCACGGAACTCAAAAATATTGTGGATTGAAAAGGCCATTTTTTCCCTATTGAATTCGATCCACCAAATTTGCTAGTGTCAAGCAAGTTGTTGCTAGTAACTAGCAGAGCATTATCTTTGCGTCATTGTAATAGTACGTGTCATAGACGAGCTCCCATGGTCTTTCTTTTGATTCCATTTGGACGACCAGCTTTATGTTGTCTGTTCTACTGTTCGTCAAATCACGAAGAATCTGGTCACCATAGCTGCCGGGCCCAACGTCCTGCATGAATGGGATTCTGATTGTCATCTGCTAAATTACCGAATGTATGGGGAAATTAGGTTACAATCTGATCGGCATGCAAATAAAAATGCAAATGATATGGCGCATAAGTGTAAAATACGTCCCAGAAAATGTTCAAACCCTTCAAACTAAATAGTTATCCGTCTAAAAAAGTCTTCTAAATATTTATAATATTTAAATGTTCTTATAATATAAAAAATATTAATAAAATTATATGTATTTTTATAGAATAATTATTTTAATTGACCCTGATAAAAACTATGAATACATTTGATAATGGACGGAACGTGATTCTTTAACTGCTTTTTCAATGGACTTCAGCACAGCCTACTTGTTCCACATGAATACAAAGTTTGTCAAACGAAATTATGAACTGCCAAGAACCCAAGATCGAAAATCAAACAATCTCAAATGTTCGCAGCGACCCCAAAGCCGAAATCAAAAGTTAATGAATGATCTTATGGAGGGGAAGGGGAAGCATATTCGAAATCATAGCATTGGCCATTCGATTTCAAAAAAGGGTCACGTATCGGGTATTAAGCTGAAGCCACATCGCCGGCGATCAGCGCAACATAATCAAAGCTTTACCGGGAATAAGAGCCTGAAAACTGAAAGTGACGAGCATAAATTATAGTGAAACTCTATCCGGTAGCTTGGCACTATAAATAAGCCAAGTCGGATTGGGAAATCAGAACAGAAGCCCTTCAACAGCGAAAATGATTAAAGCCAGCTCTGCGCCAATTGCAATTCTTGTCCTGAGCCTGATCGCTCTGAGCTCGGCGGAACCACTCCGCCGGAGATTCCTAGCCCGGCAGGAGGAGGCTCCACCTAGCCCTTCGCCCACGGGCTATCCGGAGGCGGGAATAACCCCCAGTGTTCCCTTCGATCTGCCCAGCTCAACAGCCAAGCCGGACAGCACTTACCTGCCGCCAGATAACACCTATGGACCGCCAGACAACACCTACGGACCTCCGGACAACACCTACGGACCACCAGATAACACTTACGGACCTCCAGATGCCGATTCTGTGCCGGTGGCTGATGCTGAGTCGGAGACACAACCTGAGAATCCCATTGAAACCGATGATATTCCAGAGCCTGAGGAGGAGTCGGTTGATGGCGCCAAGCTGCAGCCCGCTGACGCTGACGCAGTGGAGGATGAGCCACAATTGGCGGTGGCTGAGGATGGTTCTGTGATCGTCGTCGCCAGCAGTCTCGACCAGCCACAGCCCGCCCGACTCTACCAGCGATTCCCTCAAGGTCGTCGTACTCAGCAGCCTGTTCCACAGCGACTTGTCCTGCGTCGCAGATGGTAAACGTCTTTTATAGAATTTAATGACTAGAATTAAATGTTTTCATTGTTCATTAACATATCGTTGCATCAGAATAAATAAAATACCTGACAGGTAACGAACACTAAATTGCACAATCTATTATTGGGATATTAATAGCCAAATGCGAGCTTGACATATTGAAATTAAACAATATTTTTTGTACTATATGTACATTTAATCTCTTTAAAAATGAAACAAAATAATTATAAGGAAAGCATAAGTAAATATTAATTAATATAGTGGGTTTTTTTTAACAGAGAAAATCTAAAAGCATTTTCATAACATCTGTGTACATAGCGCTTACACCGACTTTAGTCATCGACGCAATGGGCACGTAACGTTGGACCTGCCGTATAAGTCATCGGCCTCGTCGTTTCTTTGGGCCAATGGATTGGGCAGTCCCCAAGGCCATTCCTAGTGGTATTTATAGGCGTCAATAAGCCAAACCATTGAGCAGTTCATGCAAGCACATCAAAATGTTCGGTTATTCATCTGGTTCTCTGGTCACCTTAGCTCTTTGTTCCATTCTTTGCCTGAATGGAATCGAAGCCAGTCTGAGATTCCCAGGACCCGCGAGAGCTCGATCGCTGCCGCTAATTCTACAAAGACAAGAACAGGCCCCATATCCTCCAGCAGGCATAATGCCGGATCCACCATTTGAGCTTCCCACAGAAGAGGCGGTGGAGTTTCCCCTGCCCGAAGTGACCTATGGGGCGCCAGCAGGCACCTACGGACCGCCGGCAGTAGTGGAAGAGCCCGTTGAGGCTTACGGCCCACCGGATCAGGTCTACGGGCCCCCCGGTCAGACCTACGGACCACCTGAGGAACCAGCCAACGATGGCAGCTCCAACGGCCTGCCACCAAGCGCAGCCATCATAGATTTGGCCAGTCTTCCGCTGCCACCTCAGGCTCAATATGTTCTTCCGCTTTTGAATCGCCTGACTGCCTTCCGCCCGCAGCGTGCGGTTCTACTGACTCCACAGCGTCGTCCTGCCAATCTCACGGCTCGTCCGCGACCCACTCCCGCTAAGATTATGAATGCTAATAAAGGAACTCCGGTGTTCCCATTGACTCCGCTGGCCTTGCCCTTCGTGGATCGCCGTATTCCATTTCGACCGCAGTCATCACGCCTGATAGTCAATGCGCCTTTAAGGCGCCCTTCCAGACACTAGGCCAAACCCACTGTTATATACACACACTGTAAATAAAGTTTGTTGTTTATGTCTAATTTGCGAACGAAAGTAAGAAGATAGGGAATTTAAAAGGCCAGCCGCTTCATCAACAGGTACATGTGCTGATCCACCTCGAAGCCGTGAAGATTGTTGGCGTCTCCTTGAAGTCGCATTAGCAGGCCGCCGAAGGACACATAAGCGGAGAGCCGGGACGCCTCGTTATGCGCCTCATCGCCCTCGATCCGGTATATCTTGCCGTACATCACGTACTCGAAACTGTCCGCTCGCGTGCCCTCGTGCTCCATGGGGTTGTACTCTCCACTGTCCGGACAGCCATCCTCGCGCAACGTGGTGGCCAGAACCAGGCGGAACTTGTCGCCTAGCTCCATGGGATAAAGCCATGAGTTGATGTCCAGGATGAGGTCCATCTTGAAGGACTCGGACTCGCAGTGCAAGCGGGACACACGGTCGAACTTCTTGCCCTCTGGGTCCATATCCTTCACGTTGAAAATATCCTCGAAGAGTACGCCAGCCATGATAGCTAAAATACATATTATGTTTATTAAATATTTTTTTGGGAATCAGTTTAGTGGAGCGCCAAAAAGGCGCACCTTACCTTGTGTCGGGTTTCGGCCTTATGAATATAAAATCTTTTGGTAGAGGTAGTTCGCTGTTCTTTATGAGCAGGGCTTGTTTTAAAAATAGTACTTTAATACGTTTAAACCTTTGTTAACTACTACTTTCCATTTCTTAAATATAATATTTTGCTTGCGCGTGTTTTTAGAATCAGTGATGCCAGACCTTCTAAGCGGCTTTTAGTGCTGCCACATGTCCGCGTTTTCAGTGAGCAAAAGTAGTCGCGTTCAGCAGTCACATATTGTTACATGGTGTGTAATACACTCTAATAGCTTATGAGTAAAAATAAGTAAATGATACATTATCTTATATTATATTTTTATCCAAAATTTTGTTGTGTGTGTGTAAAATAATAAATTCAAGTTTAATGTTAAATGCTGATTTATACACTTTTTATATTATGCCCATTACTCACGAAAAAAAGATTATCAATATCACACTTCCACCTCTAGCCGTGCTGAATAATAATTCTAGTGTGACCGTCATGTGGGGAATACACATCACTAAAATTAAGACAACAACGAAAAACCACCGTAAACAGTTATTTATTGTGTTTAAGTAAATTGAAGACGGTTTTGGATTGCCATATCTTCTTGGTCATCAGAACTAACTCCTATAATTCCGATGGATACATACTGAGGACCTGGACAATCGGCCAGCGAGCGGAGTGCAAAAAGTATGTACACACAGCGAGGGGGCGTTGAAATTATAAACAAATAAGAACCGAATTCTCCGTTGGCCACAGAATGTAGAAGAGGTGGAGGAGGAAGTGAATGTGCGTCCAATTCGGGGTGATGAGTGTACCCGCGGATCGAAGGCTTTAGCCATTCCCGATGATTGCGAGGGTAAGTCCACGGCTAATTGGTTTTCGGTGTTGGAACTTTGAATCTCCTGGATCCATTGTGTAGCATCTGTGTGCATAGATTGTTTAGATCGTAAGTAACTGTATTGTGGTGTTGGCATTAATTACTAACAATCGGATGCAAGACCCTAAAACTGCGGATTCGTCGAGTTTTGTGCCCCGAATACGAAAGACTTCAACGGCCCCTCCCCGCCCCGTTCCGTAATACATACCTACCACAGCCCCTTGCAACCCATCACCCCGCCTATTTAGCATTACAAAACTGCTGTTATGTATTCACTTCTTTATTTTCGCTTTTTGTGTGTGATTTTTGCTGTCGTTCGTGCTTTTTGCCCCGTTCTCTTTAGCTTCGATTTCCAGCTCCGGATTCTAGCTTTAATTCGCCTTTTCAACAGTTTGGTCGAGGCCGATTTGTTGTTTAAGTGAGTTTGGTTTCAGCTTCTGCGGGTGCGGCTCTAATGAACCATTAACCCTCTCTAGGGACAGGGGGTTGGAGTGGGGGTTGGCCGGAACCGAAGGGTTCCCAATCTGTTTGCCAGATGTTCGTCGACGCAGTCCAGGGTCATCGTCATCGGTTCTCTTCCAGTTGCATTTTCTTTGCGCTCGCTTTTCATTGGAAACTCTGCTGCCTCGGAGAACAGACGATTCCAGATCGCTCAGGTTGTACAGCTATGTACATACATATATCTTTCTATAGCTCCTCCAGTAGGTAATCGTATGTTTGTGAGTGTGTGCTCTTATCGTGCAGTAAACGGTTATCAGTTGTTGCCTCCATGGGATCTTATCGGGCACTAGTTCCATCTCACTCCCGCCCAAACGAAAGATTAAGACAACAAACTGGAAAATTTTGTGGAAGCTTGCGTTCGCTGGAAATGCCAAATGATAATTTGATCAAATGCGAGGCTACGCAGCTCCTAGCTTAGCACACAGTGAAAAACAGAGTAATACCTTATTAATAAATAATTAATTACAATTATATTCAGCTAAATCAATATTAAATTATCAATTCATATCAAATTGCATTTTAGACAGCATAATTCTGATTTAAAAATCTAAAGTAAAGAAAATAGAACACATACATATGTAGTAGTGATAAAACTGCCTACATATTGTATACATTTATGTAAATAGATATGTTTTAAATATGAAGTTACTCATCTCTTTTCGATATTCAAAATCCTACATTAATAGACAATTTTGGTAATACTTCTTCCGTGCATAGGTCTTATCACTGTTGACTCAGCTGGAGGTTCTGTTCTGTTCCGTTGCTGTTTCTCTTTTTGTTTCTGTTTCGGCCTCACTTACTGTACTATATCTGTCTGTGTTTTTGATTCTCCGTCTGCTTCGGAACGTGGCGCATTGCGAGCGGAGAAATAAAAACAGTTCTTAACTTTTTGCAGCCCAACTAAACTAAACTAAACCAAAGGTGTATGGGAACTATCCTAGCAGTAGAAAATCAAACCAAAAACAAAAATCAGAAAACTATAAATTACGTAGAGCATTAACCTTAGAAGTAAAGCAAAACGCAGCTGGTGCCGGTGTCCCCTAAGAAGAGGTCCCCAAAAATATAGTTACAGTAACAGAATAATAAAAACCATATAAATGGTACGTAGTCGTCGCAGTGTGTCCAAGGAGGATGCGGTCTCCGTGCTCACGGACAGCGGGATATCGCTGTCCTCGCCGCCGGCGGCGAGAGAATCCTCTCCAGCCAGCACACATCCAATCAAGAGGCGGAAGAGCAGCCTGGTTAGCCTGCAAGAAGCATGTGCGGAGGAGGATGAGGATGACGGCGGCGAGCAGGACTCGAAGGATTCTGACTACGTGCAACCGTTGCCGAAGAAGTCCGTCCGCAAAGGCGAGCCAGTGAAACGAAAGCATCATGTCTGCAGTCACTGCTCCAAAGAGTTTGGCGGCAAGACAGATCTACAGCGCCACATGCTCATCCATTCGGACGAACGACCGCACACATGCAAGGATTGCGGCAAGAGCTACCGGCAGGCGGTTAACCTTAAGAACCATATAACTACGGCCCACGAGCATCGGAAGCAGTTCGCCTGCTCTCAGTGCCCTAAGTCCTTCGCCCTTAAGGAACGTCTGCGCCTTCATATGCGTCTCCATTCCGGAGAAAAGCCATATCCTTGCGCCCTCTGCGACAAAAAATTTGCCCGGGGAGGTCAGGTAAGTGTCACTATGCTAAAACAGAAATCTGTACCTCAACTTTTCTTTGGAAAAAAACTTATAATTTCCTAGCTAAGATATTAAGCTTTATAGTTATATTTTTTATTATTTTTTAAAGCTGAACAGAATTGCTATATCATAATTTCATAATAGATTTTATTAAAGGCGTAGTCCTCCGAGTATTTACATATTTCTTTCAAAATAATAACACTAATATTGATTATTTTAATCACTTCATTTGTATTGTAGCTGCAACAGCACATGGTGTCTCACCACAAAACGAGCATCCAACAGTTCAACTGCACAAAGTGCTCGGCAAGCTTCTCAACAAACGCCAATCTACGGGTGCACATGGTGCGCCACGAACAGGGCATGGATCACCGATGTGGAATCTGTGAGAGCCAGTTTGCGAATGAGCTGTCCCTGCGAGCCCACATTAACCAGGAACACCACAAGCTGACGCAGTTCGAGTGCGAGATCTGCCACAAAATGATCGAGCCGGACGAGGATCTGGCCACCCATATGCAGAAGCACGCCGCGGTTAAGACTCACGTGTGCGAGGTATGCAACACGTATTTTACCCAGAAAAGCCAGTACAATGTCCACATGCGGATGCATACCGGAGAGCGCCCATACCAGTGTAGAGTGAGTTGAAGGATTGCTAGTTTCTGCATAGATATAACTAACATTACATCTGCCAACAGATATGCCACCAGACTTTTGCACACTCAAGCGTGCTAAAGCTGCATATCCGGAAGCATACTGGCGAAAAACCCTTTCGATGCCAGTTGTGCCAAGACGAGGTGGCCTTCTCTCAGCTGGCGCACCTAAAGAACCACATGAAGAAAATACACAAGCAGCAGAAGCCCTACATGTGCGACGGCTGCCATGAGTTCTTCAAGATCAAGGTGGAGTTGCAGGCGCATGCTGAGAAGTGCCCTAAGTGTCCTGGTGGCGGAGAAGAGCCCTCTGGCAGCCAATCTGAAGATACACAAATCCTGTCCACCATACGATTCAACATGGCAGTGGTGCTGAAAAAGATTAGCTCAGCTCAGAAATTGCGCCAGTTGGGCTACGAGAAGCGTCTGATCGATAACGTGATTATTGCATCCCTAAAGCTGGCTCAGCGAGCCTCGCACGACGACGTTACACTGACGCCCTTGGCAAGGCTCCGGCTGAATGTGGAGGAGTTCCTTAAATGGATTGTACCAGCACCCACAATGAAGAAATTCAACGATGAATTGCTGTCTATCGACACAATTTTAGACAAGATTGCCAGCATGTATATGAAACAGAAGTAGATATCAGGAGTTGCTAGCCAACGCCAAATGCAAGTGTGCCATAGAAGAAGGATTTGTAGAACTAGAACTTTTCTTGCCATTTAGTTTAGTGTTCAGTAACCCAAAGTTGCCGAGCGAAACCCGACCAAATAATTTATCCCAAAGATACTTGTATATGTATATACTTTGTAGTTCTACTAATTTTGATGACTTAACTTAGTTTAATCCCTATTTTGCTGCTACCAAATGAATGGAATAGATTTGTCCATAATAATTTAATTTAAGAACGAATTTCGATGCAATACTTTATATAATAAGCTAAACACCAATGAATTGAAACCCACAAATATTTTATTCTTACTTCAGTCTTGCCAGAGCAGCAGATTACTTAGTGTGGATCTATCAGCTCAAGTACCATTTAACTCATTGTTGCCATACATATAACAAATGAGCTTAACGCATTTAGTTGCCTTTTGTCCATAACCTTTTCTTTTGGTAAACTCGATGTTTATAAACAAATGAAACAAGTGTAAATCCAAAGTATACATCCAAATAAATTAAATGAAAATCAAAATACGTAGGTCAAGTAACGGAATAAATAAAAAGATTGTGTGTGATTACTTCCATTTCTGATTACTGAAACAGATTTCTTTTTGGGCTGCTTAGGATGTTTTTGAATTGAAATTATATATTATTTTCCGTCATGATTTTTTATTTTTTTGTTTCTAATTTTAAATGATTTAATTTACCATCAATTTATTTTTATTTTATTTGTCACTTGTCTTTATTTACAATCTTTGAGCAAATGGTAATTTTAGAGTGCGTTCATAAACATGGTACGGATTCCCAATTACATTGATATCAGCATATGCTAAGTCCGAACATAAATTTTAAGGATTTAAGATGGTATGTGATATTTGTCAATCATATATTTTTCATTAGTGACTTAAGTGTTGGTGACCTTAGAGGCTCATCCAAAGAATTTCATGCCATGTCCGGCTGGATGTAGCATTCCATATTTGAATTCAGCCAAAATAGCATCGAGCCACACAGAAACACCCAGACACACCCAGCCAAGCAGGCATCTAACCACATAAACAGTTAGGTACAAGTGCCCCATGGGTCTCTGCCCAATGGCCATAAATGGTCTGGGCTTGTGCACAAATTTATAAGCCACTCACATTAAGGCGGCAAATATTTTTTATGGCAAACAGCAAGCTGCATGCGAACTAAGCTCTGAGCAGAGCAGCTGTGGTATCTGCAGGCGTTGTGGCACCTGCCCACTTCCCTCTTGCCACTTACCTCGACTACACCACCTTCCACCCACCCAGAGCAATTAATGAAATTTGCTCAGCGAATTTATTGACGCGTCCGTTAGTGTCAACTGAAAGGAATCGTGTGGCGGGGATGCCATTTGTTTGGCCAGAAGATGTATACAAAATTTTATGTATCGAATATAGTTATGATTTTATGATAGCCAGGTCCCGGCTGGGTTTTTTTTCTCAGCATCTTACCATTGCGTGTCTGTCACCTAAAGCTGCTCTTGTAATCTCCGCCAATCTCACAACCCAGCCCAGTCCATCCCTCCCATTCCCATTCCCGATTCCGAGCAGCAGCTTAATGTCTACATTTGTTCTGGCCATTGCGTGTTCAGTGGCTGCCCTTTTTGCAATCTCAGCTAACTCGGTTACTCCTCCTCCCACTGCCACTTCCATGTCCTCCTGCTTCTCCACGCCCGTTGTAACTGCAAGTCAGGCACTCCAGCTCCTTCACCTTCTTCCACAGATTTAGCCTCGCCATCTCCAGCAGCTGCCGCTGCCATGCCGCATTAGAACAAATTGCTCTTGTTACGATAGGAAGGATGGACATGCCTTTTGCCTTGTTTGGACCGACGGACAGAATGCCTCTGCTGGTTAGAGACCGGACACACTGGAACCGTTGGATACAAATGAAAACTTACTCAGTTAGTTATAGGGGAATAATATCATTGTTTAGTAAGGAGCTCCGTGTGTCCCAGCTTGTTATTTACCTTTAATATGCCTGTGCAAAATATTAATTTTATTTTTTAATTAATATAAAGATATCTATTTGACAAGCAAAGAAAATTATCAAAGGACTAGTTTTTGCAAGCTGCCTTTATATTTTATAGAAATTTTTATTCACTGCATGCATTTTATTCTAATTCCAAACAGAAATATTTTTGGAACAGGAACTCAGTCACTTTAAAGTAACCCCTTTATTTCGACTTGTTCGTTTCTGAAATAAAATCAACATTTATAAGAGTATCTGAAATGCATCAAACTTATTTCCGATTTGCATGTTTATTTTCCAAGTAAAATGCGTTGCGAATTCGTGAAACAAATACTCAGAGACGTAAATACGCATGTTTCGCCTTCTGGCCAGAGCTCGTTGGGGTTTTAGCTTCATCTGCATACCTGGATTTGAGCGGGACAATGTTAATGATGAGAAAACAGAAAAGCAGCCTCCGAGGACTAGGTCCCATTTCCGTTTTCCCTTTGGGCCCCGGACTGCAACAAATTGATTTGACTTTGGCCTATGCTTGGACTCCGATCATTTGCGTTAGCTCGTTTGGCATTATATAATGCATATATAATTCTTTTGTTGTCTGCGGCTAATTTGCAAATTTACGCTGGCATTGGGGTAATGTCATACCACTTCGAGGTAACATCTTTACTCTGAACCCCTTACTCTTAGCCCAAATCAAGTTCAAGTTGAGTTGTTCACTGACATCTAATTTGTGCTGGAGCTGGGCAACTGCCCAACTAAATTGCAGTAGCCCACGCCATCGAGCCAAGAGCTTAAAGAGTAGAAATCCATAATTGGCTGGGAATGCCCATGTGAAACCATTTTCACAGAACATTAGAAATAAGCCTCTGCAGACTAATTTTGCGATCAGCTTTATTATTTTTTCGTTTCCTGCCATTCTAAGGAAATATAATTTTTTATATATTACATTTATTATCCCTTTTATTACTCATAAAAGTGATTCGCATTCCATTTTCCCAACTTGGTAAATATTTTTGGGCTATTATAATAGCTTTATTTAAGTTTAAAGTCCTTAGGTCAGCCTTGACCAACGATTTTTCGGACCCTCTCCAAGTGATGCCTAGTCATTGGGGTCATTCAACTTCTGCAGGCCCGGGCGTTTAAGGAGGCAAAGTCAAAGTCAAGTCAAAAGTCATAAAAGATATGCAGTCTGTGCAGTCTGACTGCCTTAACAAATGTACAGATGGTTTTGTATAGCCCTGGCTCTGGGTTTTAGTTCGGGTATGGGCTCTGGCCTGGGTTCAGGAATGGTTTGGGTACAGGTATGAGTACGAGTATATGGCTACGGGTAAGGGGATGTGCGTTGCTTTGGTAATCCTTGGCCATGTCTGCGCTGCCCTTATTGCAACAGCAACAGAAACAACCAAACAGCATCAGGAACAACAATTACAAATGGACGACTTCTTTGTTCTGTCAGCAAGGCCTGTTGCAGTCCAACAGCCCAGAATCAGCATCAGCACCAGCACCAGTTGGATTTCAAGACCAAGCTCCGGGCCGAGTTAAGGCCCAAAGAGCTGCAGCCCGAGTTTTGCGGTAGCAGCCCAAAAGAGGGGGCGTCGTCAGAGTCGTCTCCATCTCCATCTAAGCTGCCAGCAGCTGCTACGCATAAAGCATACGCCCGGCACTGGGAGAAATGGGATTAAAGAAGAAACTAATTACTATTTTTTTTGTTTTGTAGAAAATGGCATATAAATTTGAAAGATATTAAAATAATAAAGGTTTTAGGTCGTTACAAATTATTATTATTATTTGTTAGTGATGAATTATGTTTTCTTCGATATAAGGACCAATTCGAGTGTTCTTTTCATTACCTTAATCACCTTATTGAAAAAAAAAAAATATATTTTTATGTCAGCTAACAAAAAGTATAAATATTTTATCAAAATAGTTTTAAATCATTATTATCGTCGTTAAGATTTTATGTTTTTAAAAGATTCTTATATTTCTTTAAGTGCTTTCTGCGGATGCTGTTCTTTTGGGGCGTTATTGCTGGCCAAAACAAATATGAAGAGCTGCAGTCTGCGGCCGCGTCTCTGTTTCTGTCTAGGAGTCTGAGAAGTCAGAAATGTGCAACGTTATCATAACTAAGTGCATGTGGATGCGTGTGCTTGTGATTTTCCCGAAACGAAACGAAACCAAAAGAACGAAACCGTCTGCATATGCATAATTCATGCTATTGAACCTTCTGCGGTTATGACTGGACATGGACATGGGGCCCTGGACTTGAACCTACCCACGGAGATTGGGACGAGGGGATAGGGGATAGGGACAGGAGATGGGGACCTCAGCCAGGCAACTAGAAAAATTATAATTTCACAAGTCATAATAGGATTTGCAATTCAAATGCGAAAAGGCAACGCAGACACTGAAAGCGGACTCAAGTCGACTCAGCCAGCTTTTTTGAGATTGTTCTCGTTGTTGGTGCTGTTGCCGTTTCCTTTTTGTGAAAAATTCTGTGGAAGGAGCGAACAACAATAAGAGGCTTCTCGGCCAGGGCTCAGACTTATGGCCAAGGCTCTGGCCCTGGCCAATATGTCAAAAATATTAAGAGACATGGCCATTGGGCCCGGGAATAGGATCGGGAATTGGCATAAAAATCGGTTTGAGGTATGGGTTGCTGCTTGTTTTGGGGTTTGAGGATTGGGGATTGGCCTGACTATCGTACTGGGATCATGCATAAATATGCAAACGATAAGAGTATTCCTCTATAAAGTTGTAAAATTGACAAGCGTTGCAATGCCAAACTCTCAAATAAAGCAATAAAATGGGCTAAAACATCGCTGGCCAGGGATCTCAACTGCAGGCCGATCGGTAGCCATGGACCAAATGCAAAAATTAGAAATGAATGCCAGCGGGTTGCAGCAGCAGCTCTACCTTCTCTTCTAGCCTCTTGCCTGCTTGCCCAGAATTTATGCCATTCTACCAGGGACTTGGCGGGGGGATTCTGAAGATCCGATGGAGAGATGAGCACGGAAGCATCATCGTTTGTCACTGGCGCATGCAAAGGCTCAATTCATGATTCTGCATCGACATCGAGGAGGAAGTGCGCCTCTAGTGACAACAGGCAGCGCATAAAGATAACAAATAGTATTGCAGCGGGTTGCATCGTAATCATGTCAAACTGCCAATACCGGCAGCCCCAGAAGGAAAGCCCACAACTTACGACTCACTTAGGACTTCCAACTTTATGCGAAATCGAACCCTAAACGTGTTCCCAGGAAATTCAGAGAGATGAACTCGATATAAATGAGTAGGAAGAGCTTTCGGATTTCGGGAATCGCCTTTGGGAGGGTCGACAAAACAAAAGACTTAGGCAACGAACTTGACAGTTTTTCCAGCTAAGTACGCAAGCGGAGCGGCCAGATTTAATTAGGGATTAGACTCTGGCCGTGCTCAGCTGCGGCGTCATAAATATTTAATGATATTGTCAGCTCCGCGGTCAGGGACCATACATATAGCCCTGATCTTGGCTTCGGACCGGGCTTATTTACCGGCTTTGGCTTCAATTTAAATCAAATGTGAGCAACGATGCCGTCGTCGCCACGAGGCTCCGTTTTGG